GAATCTTCAAAAGCCTCCACTTCCATGACTCCTTCCTCATCTATCTCCTTTTAAAAAGCCCCTTGAATAAGGGCCACAGTCTCTTCTATGGTTGAATGGTCATTGAGTGTGAGCTTCCACTCACAAGGTATATAAGCCCCCCCTCCAACCTGTTTCCCTCTTACTTATTTTTGAGAGGGAGGAGGGGCTTTTGTGGTGGTAGGTAAGCCTGTGACCACACTACAAAGAAACAAAAAAACATGTTTAATTTTATTGAGGTAGGGTTGAATTTGGACATTAAATTTCTCACTACAGTGGAACATAAGGCGAATCTAAAGCAACATTTTGCCCTCAGAGCACAAATATGTCGTTCTGAAGATATTTATCATTTTGACTTTTTCGTTCCTTTTCCCAGCTTTTTGGCACAAGCGCGACAACATGTTTGCAATATCTCCAGATGTTTGTCTGCATTTTGGACGGACATCCTGATCAAAATAAAAGAAATCAATATAAGAAGCTACTCCCACTGATTTAAAACTCACTTCACACACATGATCTGGATCTACAACGTGATTTCTAGATGAGAGTCGCATACATTGCCGGTAAACACAACCAAAAACAGACTTGATCGATTATAACTAAAACTACATAGACAGACTAAGGCATACTCATCAATATCAGTAACCCTTCCCGTCCGTTGGCAATTTTCAATGTGTGGTTGCCATTTTTACTAGGTTGTTGCCATCGACGAAACTTTGCCTGAACACACTTTACACGTTGTAGTTTTGAGGAAAATTAGTCTTGATTTCGTAAAAATTCGGCAAGATACTGAAAACTAAGCATAAAGTCATGTACTTACATTCGATGCCCGTCAAGATGGCGGCGGAGGCGTCGAAGGCCATTTGAAAACTGTCGCTTTTAACTGCCGAAATGTGGCAGGAAACTTCCCTTGACGTTCAAAAGGCAAGGAGAAGGCTGCTTCATTAGTACTGCTAGCTCGGAAGTCCCGGATATTGAACGAGGAGACCTGGAACAGCAGAACAATGGAATCATGACGTCACCGCTTCTTCCAAAACTTGCATACTCCCGAACTGGTAAAGCTCCTTTCCTGACTGAAACCTTACCCTATTTCACCTCAGAATATGTTATTTCACCTAAAACGCCTGTTATTTAGGCCTGAAATGCAGTCTGCAAGAGATACCCGAATCCTGGTTGTAGAGAGCACAGGACGTTGCCCATTTCAGACCTATTGTAATTTATTCTTGTTTTGTCTGCCATCTCCTTTCATTTTTACTTAAACATATGTGCTTACAGTCAAAGCAGGTCAAGCGTACCCCCCAAGATTCTAATGAATTGATTATTTGAAAAATGAATCCGTTAAGGCTGGTTTTCACTAGCGACGGAATCGGAGTTGCAGTCGTAAGTGGAGTCGTAAGAGCTCTTATGATCTAGTGAAGAAAACTAGATTGTCGGAGTCGGAAGCAGAAGCGGAAGGATAAACCAATCACAATGCACGTTCCCACTCGTTGTGATTGGTTTAGTTCTTCCGCTTCTGCTCCCGACTTTCACTAGATCATAAGCAAAACGTAAGCGACGGAGTCCTAAGCGGAATTAGAGCGCTGTTTTCACTACATCATAAGCTCTACGCTACTGATTCCGACTCTGACCCCGTCACTAGTGAAAACTAGCCTTTAGTGGCCGAATTTATACTAGAGACGGATTATCCGTCTCAGACGGATAAAACGTCTCTAGTATAAATTCGGTGCTAAGACGAATTATGGAGCAAAATTCGTCTGAGGCAGACGGATAATTCGTCTTAGACGGATTACTCGTCTCTAAATTTATATATAGACGGAACGTAGACGGTCTTTTGACGAAGTTTCCAAATGAGAGGGACTGGTTTCTATATTTTTGCAATGTTTCCTGTTTTCCGCGGTCGTTTCCCGCTTAAAATATCTAGACAAATTATGGAGCAAAATTCGTCTTCGGATTTATTATACTTAGAAGAATTATCTGTCTGACGGAAAATCCGTCTAGACGGATAACTCGCCTCTACTATAAATTCGGCCAGTATTTCCCTATCTAGTGTCAAATTCAAATCGGCATTTCTGCATGCAGTGAATATTTTACGAGAACTTCTCTGTATTAGGTCAGATTGAAAATCTTTGAATGGATTATATTTCTTAAAAGACATTTACATCAAATTCAGGGAAACTGAGCTGGTAGAAATTTCGTACGCATGCAAGAATGCAGAGATGAATCTGAAATCTACAACTACCAACGGATTCAACTTTGGAACCATAAATTCATTAATGGGATCTAGGGGGGTACGCTTGACCTGGCTTGACTGTAAGATTGGAACCAATTTTGGAGCTTACACTGAGCCTCTTGAGGTCACGTGACCAGCTACACCCATAATTATGCAAAATTTATTATTTTCAGATTACGCCATGAAAATGACTGTTGAAGCTCCCGTTTCTTTTTCCGTAGTGTTAAGTTTAAAGTCAAATGAGTCAAATTAAACGGGGAATTGCAAAATATTTTATTTCTATGCAAATATCAAATGTTTTCTCCTTGACCCAGTCCCACTCTCAACTGGAAACGTCATAGTTCACTCAAAACAAATAATTTTGAAAAACCCCGATTAATTCCATAAACCTTGTGTTAATAGTCATTGAAAGAAAACAAAATAAATCATAACTAGTATTTGCAAAATGTCGTAAAATTGGACCGAACTAAATGGCAAAGCATAGGCGTGACAAGTCACGTGGCTAAGATAGTTGATAGGAATATTTTTTTTAGCCCGCGTGCCAATCGTGTTCATGTAGATCGGGCTTTACAGTTGTACCATCAATTTCATTTTGCACATTTTTATTGTTTGATTTTCATGCGTGCGTTGTGATAGTAACCAGTATTGTACTAGGCGGGATGACAAGTTAAGGTTTAAAATTCCTTCTGTTCTATAGAATAATTCGTTTGTTGCTCGCTATACTTCGTTCCTTAATATGATTTCTTACTATTTGAGTCTTTGTTGATCCTACTTTCAATTTCGTAGAAGCGTGTTACCATACCGATGTTAAAAATCGACGTTCTAGTATTCCGCGTCATAAGTGGCGGACAAGCATAAAAGATACGTCATCGCTGCCACTGCGGTCGCCATTCTGGACCAACAAGACTTCCATCTCACGTTTAGAGTAGGCACATGCAAGGGGAAGTTAGTTGCGACGCCAGCTCATCGCAAAGGATGACTGCAGCTGCGCCTGCCTTTAACAAGAAAATTAAAATTATTAGTTTCTTTGTTCTACGTACTGTTATTTTCCTGTAATCCGACTGGTCAACCTTGTCTAGGTGTCCCCGGTTAAAGTGGTCGCACTGTAACGAGCTGTAGAACACAAGGAAATAACTGGATATTTGTTTGCGGCAAAAAAAGTGATATTGGTAACGAAGCAGTCGTGTTAACTAGGAGGTGTATCTCGCATCAAGTCTCTACTTGCGTTTACCACCCGGTAGAGATTTTTATTAATGCCAAGAAAATTGTTAAAGCGCTAAAATTGGGACCAATTCGGTGAGGAAAATATGGTCCTTTTTAAGTCTAATTTAGCCCTCTCAGCTTAGGTCATGGTTCTTGCAGATTTTGATCAAGATAACGTTAAGGATTGCATGCCCAGTGCAAGCCATTGCAAGCCCAAATGGCTCCACAGTGGGGACGAAACTTAAACGAGCCACAGAGAGAGGACCATGCGCGATATTTTTCATTTGCACTTTCTTCCTAAGTTATGAGATAACAAAGAAATTCTGTGATTTAAAATCGTTTCGTTCTACGTTTTTCCGTCTAGGAACCTCAAGAATAATTCATAGGGTAAAAGAGGAAAGACAACTTCATGACTACATGCATTACATTGTTGGCAAGTGAATGGAAACCCTCCAAAGGCGGTCTGTCAACCATAAACAGGGAGTTAGCCATACAGTTGGCCAAGCTTTCCAATACTTCTGTCAGTTTCTTTGTTCCAAAATGTTCTGATCAAGACAAGAGAGAAGCAAGCCATTACAATGTCAAAATAGTAGAGGCGGAGGAGCGACCGGGCTATGACCCCATTGACTGGTTGACTACCCCACCGGAGGATCTCGTGATTAATTTTGTTGTTGGACATGGTGTAATACTTGGAAAACAAGCACAGTTTATACGCAGATCTCATCAGTGTAAATGGATACAAGTGGTGCACACCGCGCCCGATGAACTGGCAGTGTACAAGGAATATTCTGGCGCCATTCCGAAAGGCGATGAGAAGCAATGGACGGAGGTTAGACTTTGTAAAATGGCTGATCTTGTCGTAGCCGTTGGACCGAAGTTAACGGAATTCTATACAGCCCTGCTCAACTCCTGCGGGAAAAAAGTTTATAATTTCACTCCAGGTATATTTGATCAATTTTCATCGTTAAATGTATCCTCAATAAAGGGAAAGATGTTTCGGATTCTAGTTTTCGGCCGTGGTGACACCGAAGATTTTAGACTTAAAGGATACGACATCGCTGCTAATGCAGTCGCCAAGCTGGATGATAAGACCTACCATCTTACTTTTGTCGGTGCATCCAAAGGGAGTGAATGTCATGTGACGGAGAAATTACTAAATCACGGCCTGTTGCAAAGTCAGGTTATCGTAAAAAGGTTTCTTGAAAACCGCGAAGATCTAATAACCCTTTTATGTTCCTCCAATCTTGTCATCACTCCATCTCGAACAGAAGGTTTTGGCTTGACAGCTCTGGAAGCGTTGTCAGCTGGTGTTCCATTTCTTGTCAGTCAGAACAGTGGATTTGGAGAAGCTCTTCAAGAGACAGTTAAAGACATACCAGTTGGATCAACTTTTATTGTAGATTCCGAAGATCCAGAGCACTGGGCAGAGGCCATTAAAGCCGTTCGTCAAAAAGGCAGTGAAAAAGCATTTCAGGAATGTCAAGAGCTGCGTAAACTCTACGGAAACAAGCACAGCTGGCGGACAGAGTGCGACGAATTTCTCAGCGTGATGAAGTCTTTGATCAGTGGTTAGTTTTTTATAAGTTATGACGTAGTTAGCTATAATACGCTGAAAGTAGTTTTGTGAGATCGTCCTTTGCCCTCTAAGAGGTAGAGTGCTGATAGCAGTAGTATAGTGGGCATATTTTAAGATGTGGAATCTCATCAGTGTGTAGTGGAATACATTAGCGTCGATGACAACATAGCCTATTGTCTAAAGCTCATTAAAAAATTCGATTTAAAATAGCCCATGAGGCCGAATGGGCTATTGACTCAGAGCTCCTGAGGGGGAGAGGAATGATTGTTTTATTAGTAAAATCCAACTAGTTGGTCAAAAATATCGAGATAAAACAACTTTAACAAGTTAAAGCTAGACTTTAATCCTTTTTTGCTGCCAAAAAGCCGGCGCTTTTCGCTACTAGTGGGCTATAACATATAGCCTAGTAGTAGCTAGCCTGCGCGCAAATTAAACTCTGGTTAACTCCGTCTGCGAAACAGCGCCGAAATCCTTGTTCTGGACTTCCAGCTGTGTACCCAGATTTGAGTACGCGCCACGATTGGCCAGTTAAAAAAGGTCTTTGTTTTGTTTGTCGTGATCGCTAATCAGGTTGAAGGGGATTTCGAAACGCACTTCCGGTAATTCGTTGAGTCCGTTGGGGGTCTAGAACAAGGATCTCTGCGCTGCTTCGCAGACGGTACTAATCAGAGTTTAGTTATCGTCTGCATGCAGGCTAAGTAGTAGCTCAACCAATCAGAACGCAGCATTGATAATAGAAAACTTGTTGGATTTTACTAAATTTACTTAAACGTGCACATATTGAGCGATATACCGCTACAGATGAAGAAAACGGTAAATGCAGTGCATTTACCATAAAATTACATCGGTTACACAATCAGATTGTGTGGGTCCCCTGTGACGCGACCACGTGGTAAATAACCGTTTTGTTTTTCACTCTAATACTCTTTCAAAAACTCTACCTTCCCAGATTTCTTAGCGACCGCGACCCCTTTAAAGGCCACAAATTTGACATACTCTTTTGTTTCAGTTCTGTTTCTGGTAAGCGACCACCCTACATAATCACTTATGATTGCAAGAAAACCATTGTTCGAATGTCACAAAAGTTAAGTATTTAATAGCGCTTACCCAGGGTACTGACAAATACATTGTAATTAAAGGGTTGCGAAGAGTTGTCCTTTGCAGTCACGCAAGTGTCCGAGAACGGATCGATTGATGTAAGATTCAAATACTCTACAGTCGGAACGAGAGTGCAAGTAGTAGGTTTTGTTCCGTTAAAGCTGAATTTAGGCAATTTATGATTAACAAGTGACAAATTTTAAACTGTATTGTACTTCAAAAGGTTGTATTGTACTTGTTGCTCGTAAAAAGAACAAATTAGTCGATTTCCGGCAGAGAACTACGGGAGGTGGACAAATAGACAACTGACAATAATAATGTTTCACATCGCGCTTGGAACTGTTGAAACTGCCCTACGATAACAGTTTGCATCAATGCACCGGGAGCCGGGCATCAATGTTACCGACAGGTCGTATGACAGCCATCTTTTTAGTAAGGCAACTGCTACAATCTGTCAGCAAGCGTGGACAGCGCTAAAAAACTGTACTTCAGTTACATTCGAGCAATGGTTTTCTTAGAATACAATGCTGGGTGATCGCTTACTGGAAATAGACAAATAAAGGACAATGTCAAATTTTTGGCCAAAAAATTAAACAAAACGGTTATTTGCAAAGTAGCCGCTTATGGGAGGAGGTCGCTATCAGACGGTTGACTGTAGTTGGAAATGTAATTGCTATCAGAGGAGAAGTCAGCGAAAGACCTTCATTTTTTTCTTCTGCAGAAGATGATTCAAACTATAAAGAACAAGCGTCTGAATACCAGCTTCCAAGACATGAACCAAACGATTCGACCCCACTAAAAGCTGCAGCAGCAATGTCTGGCGCACGGTCAGAGGTGAGAGACCTAATGAGAGGTAGCACTGAAGAAAGTGATGAGAGACCCAACAAGGAGGTACCTGAGGAAAGGACGGCGGCTCAAATTAGACCATCCAGCCAAGGAGTGAGGTCGAAAAAAAGACACTTGGCTATAGCAACCGCGATAATAGGTCAGAGGGGTTATGTATTATTTTATTCTTTTATTCATATCCCCTTAAGAACACCGACAAGTCCATACTTTGTTTTAATTGACAACCAAGGGCCGGTTGGTTCAAACAAAGTCTAACTAACTAAGACTTAGGGTTGGCCTAAACTGTTTAAAATGGAAGAACATTTAACTAAAGAGGTGACGCGCCAATTCTTCTCTACAATGAAACTGTAGTGTCGTTCAGCGAAAAAAAAAAATTACGGACAAAACTTGAATCTAGACAAGAAGCTTACGCAAGTGAAAGGGAGTCCTTTTTGGCCAAAATAGTTTTCGTCCACTCTATAATATTCTAGCTGTAGTCCTCTCCCACTAACGAACGTCTAGCTGACGACATTAGCATTTTTAACCGGTCTATGCCGGACTGATAGTTTGTTCTCCTTGTAGACTTGGCAATTCTTGGCTGCAGCGTACCAGAGCGGACCATATACGCCGTGATGCAAGAAATTGACTGTATCTGTCCCATATTGAATCTTCATGCACAGCCTTTAGTTAAAAACCATTCACCTTACCAAGTAAAGCAGTACTTGGAGGGAAACTCGCTTCGGTCCTGCGTGTTGGTGGTCGATGCGGAAACAGTTAAAGAAGCTTATGAGAATGTACCTGCACGAGGAGATGAATACAAGGACCTTCTACAAACGGCAGTAGAGAAAGTTGGTAAGAAGAGTAAAGTTTCTTTTCATTTTTTCTTATTCCAGTTACGTACTTATACTTATGATACATGCGTGATCATGGTTCATCAATTTTATTCTTCGTTGAAATTTATTTTTCTTTGGGAAACAAAATTTCGTACATTGTTATACCCAAAAACAAAGACAAATGAAAACTGGCCCAATTATATGAACATGGATTTTTTGCAAACGTGATCCTGATGGTAAGAAACTGACGAGAGAGAGATCGCGAGTTACGGATGTCGATTAACAAAATACTTAGGTCCTTGATATCTTACAGCCCGAAAGTGTTTCTTCTTCCAAAGGGTGACCGAAGAGTATCAGCGTCTTGTATTGCAATTATTAGTCTGGAAAATTAAACGCCTGTAGTTTTCTTGGATGTATAGATAACCAAATTTTCTTACCCATGGTGCTCCGCTGAGCGCCCTTCGCGCGCTGGAGAGCTCCGTTATAAAGGTAGGTCTTTAGTATGCATGCAGAAAGCCACAACCTTGCGAGATCCTTTGAAAAATATAATACGTGTAAGTACTGTATCTCATCATGGTGCATCATGTCAATAATGTTTATAGCATTACACTTCTTTTGCAGCTAACAAGGTCATCATTTTGCTCTGCGGTACACCTTTGCTAGAGAAGGCCGAAGAGTTAGTCTATCAAAACTTGTACGGTACTGTCAAAGAAAACGAAAAAGGATTCATTGCTTGGGTAAAGGATGGGAGACTGAGTGTAGACACTGATATTCTGGCGCAGCTCCTGAATCCCGCCTTAGCCACTACCACTGGACATTCCACGAAGAAGTGTTCAACTCCAAACCAGTGTTCCCATGGCACAGTCTGCACAGAGTAATACATACATACATACTTTACTATACTCCATTCCTCATCAGGGCTTTTCAGACGTACACACAAACATATTACATATCTAAGTTAAATTGAATATAAATGACATTGGAATATTTATAAGCTAATGTCTATTACTGTATCCAGATAAATTGTCTTAGTAAAATCCAACTAGTGGTCTATTATCAATGCTGCGTTATGATTGGTTGAGCTACTCAAGACCTCTGGGTCAATAGCCCATTCGGCCTTCGGCCTCACGGGCTTTTGACTCAGAGCCCATTCGGGCTCGAGGAATAATTGTTAAATAATTCTGAAATAGCATAAAATGCATGGCCGAAAAATATATATCATGTTAATCGAGAGGAGGGACGTATATGAGAGGAAAAGCTTGTTTAATTTAGCGAAACGGGGAGCTGGTCTCAACAACAACCGCTAGAGCGCTAAGTAGCTAGAAACGCTCAAGTACACGAGGTTGCATGTCTTGCAGCCTGATCAAACCATATAGTTCAGTCCACACTTGTTACAGTCGTGATTGATTGATTACTACAATCTATCATTAATTTTATTAATTTGGTTGTGAAGAAAATTAAAGAAGGGAGGGAAGGGGGGCTTACTTTCTTCCAGTGAAGGAAGGGGGCGGGGCTTCAATAGATGAATTACGGTATTTTACAACCATGGACAAGGTTTACACATCGAAATTAATTGTTACACTGGAACAATTTTAACCTTTTACCTTTTCCAATTTAACGAGCGCACCTTCTGACTTTCACTGACAAGCTACGGCAGCAATATAATAAATCATATATTCATTACTGTTTATTTATTTAGGTTTGTCAATTTTTGGCAGGGTCATAGCAACAGTGCTTGACACCAATTACTGCCGGCCCGTAACAGTCCCTCCTCCCATGAGATATAGATCACCACACCGGGGACTACGTCTCCTACTATTAACTCCTAACGTTCCACAGAATTTATAAGTGCAGGGATTGTGAGATGGGGCCTACGTTTTGTCGTCCTTATCAGAGAAGATTAGAAAGTCTGTTTGCGGATGTCGTAACAAAGGAAGCTCTTTCTACTCAGTTATTCAAGACCCTAAATGTTGGTCCGGCCGGGGTATGAAAAACATCTTCGCGATGGGGAACCTCCCTGCATACCCTGCACCCGCCTGCTATGCTCACCCTTTTTTAAGTGTGGATTAGCCCTACCCCTCCCCCACCTCACTTTCATCCTAGCTTCGCGTTTCCTGAATCCAGGGTACTGTTTTTCCCTGGGATTGCGTGGGGATTAAAAGTACCAAATTGAAAGAGATGAGTTGGTTCTAGATTTTTGCTCATTTCCGTGTTGCCTTGTGAAGAGATAGACCGCAGTTTGACAGGTTTTGATTGGCGTGCTTAACAAGGTTGAAAATGGGATGGTGAGCTACTTTTTTCGATTTCAACAAGTGGAAGATAGAAACGGTTGCCTCTATGGTGGGTCTCGATTCACTCTCCAAGGAATTTTTCTTTTGTGGGGGGGTGATTTTTGTCACCATTCAGACATCCCTGTTATTTTGATTACAGAGTAACACTCCTAAAAGTAAATGAAGTAAGTTTGAAAAAGTAATGGTAATAAAAGTATGCTGCTTGTGTTATGCTTTATTTTGGAAAATCTTGCTGGCACAGGAATAACAGACAATCACCATACAAACATAAATAGTTGTCTGTAAAGCCATTAACTTAATGATAAATTTTGTTGGAAATAAAAATAACAGCCATAGATCCTGGAAAATGGTGTTAAATGCTTTGTCACAAAGCCAGTTAATTTTGTCCAGATCTGCAGTTCACGTATTCCCAAAGAAGTCAATCAATTAAAATCATTGATTGGAAATCTACCAATCACAAGACATTAGTAAGGTCATTCAGTTAATTCTAGTTGACTGATTGATTGTTAACAACCCTTGACTGCTATTTCACAAACTTTTGAGAGCATCCAGTTATTGTAATAGGAAATGATTCCACTGGAATTTATGCAACCAATAAAAGATAACAACATTAAGTGGCAAGAAACATCACTCATGTTGTAGTTATAATTGATTTCATTGATTGACCATGATGGGGTAATTGCGAACTCTCTAACAGAATCCTTTGTCCTTAAGTTTAGTGACCAAATCATCAACAGTTTCAACTTTAATTCCTGCTTCCCGTACTGGTGGATCCTCAACACTCAGAGTCTCTATTCTTGGAGAAATGTCTACACCTAAGTCACCAGGCGTCTTCTTGTCAATTTTCTTCTTCTTTGCTTTCTGCAGTACAAAGATGCATTTTTCAATTAAGTAATTAGTAAGGCAGACGAAAGCCTTTTGAATCAGCATGGAATTTAAGAAACTGTCTACCTTCCCCTCCCCAAACCCAACATTAGTACTAACTACTACGTAATGAGCTTCTGAGAAACTCCCTACCTACCCCTCCCCTAACTCAACGTTAACACTTACAATAATGGCAAAAATGTTAAATGAGGGGTTGGGGGTGGGGGCAGGGGTGGGGGACTTAACTCTGATTGTTAAAGAATGGTTGACTGCTGAAATCAAGCAACTTGTTGCAATCATCACAATTTGGCACAACAACGCTAGTTCGTTGATAGTGCTGTTAATCAGTGACTTTTATGATAAATAAATAGAAGAGGAAAATATTCATTCTTGTTACAAACCATAATATTAGGGAGAGTTGCATAGCGTGGTTCATTCAACCTGGAGGACAATAAAAGTGAATTCCCAATTATTTTAATAAATAAATTAAATAATACTTCTGCTACAGATAGATTTTTTCCTTTAAATTTTCAGTTACCCACTCTCCATGGTTCTTAAGGGAAAATGATACACAACCCTGGGACAAAATACTTGCAAATGACCCTATATTAAACATATTTAAAATCTTCAACTCAGGGGGCAGCCTAGTGGCAAACAACCATGGAGTGAAAAAAAAATTGACCAAAATGTAAAAAGTGTAAAACATGTCAGAAAAACAAGTGCAAGCTCCAGGACTTTCTGTGAAAAAATGAAAAGGGCTCTAAGAAAGTGTGTGAGTTGGTTATTTAAAAACCTGGTGGAGAAGTTCAAATCAGGATTAAGCTTGAGTCAAACTGCGAAATGGATAAATAGGGAAAAGGATCCAAATTAGAAATTTAATTTACAAATACACTGTACTAAACCATACTGTTTCAATTTTACACCAGGACAAAGGCTTTCAAGACGTAACAAATGATAGGGAGTTTTTTACACAGAGCACCATGAGAATCACATGCAAAAACAGAAAATCTGTCAACAAAATCCTACGGTGTGACCATTCACTTGGTACTACCAGAAACTCATAACCCCTTATGAGTTTCTGGTACTACTTATTTAGTATGGAGGTCTAACTTTTGAGTCTGTGGACCAAATCCTATGGTGTGACCATTCAAACGAAACCCCTTCAGCAGTACTATTGCTTGGTCCTGTTTATTTGTTAAGAAATGTAGGAAATAACGAATGAAATTTTAATGATATTATTGGGAATTAGAAATTACTAGTAAAAGACTATAGTATCGTTGTTTCTTAAATACCTGAGATCAGCTGTTACAACACAGGGCATCTTGACATCTATCATCTCAAGACCACCATCAATTTCACGCGTCACTCCCAATTTATCATCTTTTAACTCTAATTTTGATGCAAAAGTTGCCTGTAACAAACAATAAATACACCACTTTTATAAACCTTTTTTGCTGCACTTTGGAGTTCTTTGAGAGACTGTGCAAATATAGGAACAAATTATGCATCGATATTCATAAACAGAATACAAATCTCTTGTAATGGGTTCCTCCATAATAAATTTATCTTTCTGTTTATGCTATGGGAAATCTGAAAAATGGCACAGCAGATATTTAATATTTTTGCTCACATGTACCAACATGTAACTCACACATGTAATCAATGTAATTAAAATTACTGCGATGATCATTCTTCACTCTCTGTATTCAGTTTTATGACTCAAACTTTTCTTTGGTGTGAAAATTTCTAATCCAATTTCACTAAATTTTTTCCCTTATCTCATAACATTATCATCAGAGATCAAAGACATAAGAAAATCCCAAAATAATACTGCTTAACTATTAGGGAAAAAATTCAACCCAGTTACCTGTGGCCAGTTAAGCAAAGCAGACAGCATTTGACCTGTCTGATTGCAATCATCATCAATTGCCTGAAAAACAAAAACAAAATTTCAGTGATATGAAGCTCTTCTATAAACTACTTTCTTGGTACAAAGGAAAACCTGAGAAGGAGGGACGTGCTGATCTATCAGATCAGATAATGGTTGTTTGAAAGTAGTTTTTTGACAAACAATAAATAAAAAAATATCGACACTGATTAAGGACTGAACTTTCTGAAATATTATTACTACATAACAAAATGTACATTATCATAATGCTTGGTCTTTTAAGCTTAAAAGCTACATGTATTATCCATTATTTACAAGATCTCTTTCTCCTTTCTTTAAGTTACAGTACATTTACTGCTCAAAAGTAAGTTGACAGCCACTGGCATCTCAATCCTTGATCCTGGAGACTTGACCGAAGTTACCAGTTCAGAAACATAATGAGCTTGTTGCTTGACTGATCTCCCAAGAAACAAATTCAACAAATGGACTGCACTCCCCCTTCCCCCCCTTACCCCCCACTTCCCAGGTCTAAGAAGCTTGAAGTTCAAAATGCAACAATAGTCTTGTGCAGTTGTTGTTCTTACTTTCATGACAAGTGGTAAAGTTTCCATCATGCATGTCAGTGGTTCCCCATAAGATGTTATTACAGGTGGTTGACACATTAAATTTTTAAGCAGCTGTAGGAGGTGAAGATTCACCTGTAACATCTTGCAAAAATTTATAGTCTCTCGTGCCATCTTTAGCTTTCCACTTTGATCACCCATAACAGCAAGTGTGCTCAGCCATGACAGGTGTTATGGGTTACATCCCTTAATGACAGCTCTGGTTGAGGTGTAAATACAATGAGTTAACGTTTCTACAAAAGTCTCTTTCAATAAAGAAGTCAAGTCAATGGGCCTTATTCTTTCACAATTACTTCTGATCAGTAACTTTTGACTGATCATTACCTGTTTCCCAAGAAGAATTAAATTAGGATTCTCCTGCTCTGTAATCTTTTGAAACAGCTTCGCTACTGCAAGGGGCTGAAGGCCTTCATATTCCTTGTCATTTAACACAACGTGAATACCACGATCAACTCCCATAGCAAGGGCTGTGCGAAGGGTTTCCTATAAATTTTTGTTAGAACAATACAAGAGTTCAGACAGCATTTAGTTTCATTTTGTAACAGCAGAAAATTGTGCTTGATTTATTTTTAACAACTCTAAATTTTACAAAATGAATAGCTACATCATTTTAAATTGTCTTGTACATGTAAGTTGCAAACATGAGAAAAAGAAAAAAGTGTGCACTATCCACTAACTATACTCTTACAGATGATGGCTAGATTATCAACCAGTAAGCACACAAGAATTTTATTAGGTATTGTAGAAATACAAAATTAATAAAATGAATGAATGTCAGTCAAATTCTCAGCATACTTCACTTATTTTGGAAAATTTTGTTGATCTTGGATTTATAGCAATACACGTACATGTAATACAACAAAAACCACATTTTCAATTTGACAGTTTGATTTCTCTTTTTCATTAATAATGAAATGAACGTTGGTGACTTTATTACTGACTTCCTGTGAATGTTTTCATCAGGAGGTTAAGCATTTAGTAACTGTAAGTAACAGTAACAGAAAACTTGAAGGCAAAAGCCCTTCAAAACCCAAGGCAAATTGCTATGTAAAACAAAGCTGTAATGCACTGAAAGAAAAAAAGTACTTTAAAGGCATTAGAACTGTCTATTACAAATATTTTGTTAATGTTGTTCATGCTCTAAAAGCTACAGTATTTTAAAATAAGGTTCCGAAAACCCTGAGTATTTGAATTATAGCTTCGAGGGTAAGGAGGAAGAGAAATTACACAATAATATTAACAATTTATTATACACTCGGAAAATGAATGAAAGCCTGTATGGGGAGAATGTCATTTCTCGGAACATAATCTCTATGATGTCTATGACGGCCTTGAAGACTAAGTAAGTCCTACCTCGCTTTTAGCAGGCCCACAGCTAACAGCAACAATTTCTGATGCAATTCCCTTTTCTTTGAGCCTTACTGCCTGTCAATTTTTTAAAAAAGTTTTTTGAGTAATATTTTTGACATCTTGCTTACAAAAGAGGGAATATAGTGATGGGGGGTGGGGCAGGGGTGTAACAATCTCTTCAATTACGTCAATGGAAGGAGAGGGGTGGTCTCTAAGGGAATAGCATTTAAAAAGAACTCAAACAAAAAAACATAACTGAAAATTCCAGAAGGTTTGTGCTGGGATGGAGGGTTCTTAATAATATCTTTTCGTCCACATAACATACCCTCATTGAGATGAAAGACAAATATTAGTGTAACTCGACCAGTGATGAATTTGTAAACTTACCGGTACTTCCACTACATATTAAACTGAAAAGACTTCTCTCGACATTCGTCGTTATAAAAGAAATAACAAATTCTAGGCATACTTAAAAGATTTAACTGCTTTCTGTAAGACACAGCAATTTAAGAAAAATTAAAAATATTGCCCGACCTCTTCCACCGCTATTTCATCAAAAGGGTTCATGCTATGCTTGACTCCATCAGTAACCACGCCACTCTTATCCGGTTTCACGCGTATCTTCAAGGAGAAAATAACAATTTAGAAATATCATTTATTAAGATTATGTATTATGCACCAGTTTCTCGATCACCACAAACCTTAACGGCGTAATCTATGACACGTTTAACCCCAACCAAGACTCGTAACGACGCCATCTTGGATTTTGGACGAAAGGAAGATTGAGATGCGCATGATCTCAAAGGATACCGCTGGGAAATCGACACCGCAAAGAAGAAACCAAGATGGCGTCCTAACAACACATTCTTGACAGAATACTTGGTCTTTAATTTCTTTAAATCGTGAAAATGCCGCCAAAGAAGAAAAAGGGGAAGGGGAAGAAAAAGAAGAAGAAGGATGGTATGGCTGGGTTGATCGTTTTCTCGTTAGTTTTTGTCAAGAATGTTTTTGACGTGCAAGGAAACTTTGAGTTGTTTTGTTTGTTGTTTCTGTGCAGAAAAAACTGAATTGACGATCGAAGATAAGTACAAAAGAACTATGCAGGAAATAGAAGTCCTTAAGGACGAGCTGGGTAGGTTTTTTAAAATTAAGATCTTCTAATCATTCTTGCCTTTCATTCATGTAATTTTATAACTTATGAAAAGCTGCAGATTGATCGAAGTTTGTTATGTTACACTTGTAAAACGTCTTGCAGCTGCAAGAACGGAGATCGCACGAAGGTCTAAAGACACCGCAGATCGCATGAAGGAAAGGATGAGGGAGGCTAAGGACGAAGTAGAGACAGAACAGCAAAACAAGTTGGACATTTCTTCAGGCATGTTTGCTATGTTCCTTCTTTCATATGATATATTTTTCTTCATTATTAATAACGTTCATTTTGTTATTGTCTTATCGGCAAGTGCAATATTCATTAAGACTGATAATCTGAAATACCAGCCTTCTCCATCCTTGATAGTCTCTCTCTCCCATGCCCCTCCCCCCTCCTAGGGCTTTGGGGTGGAGATGGCTAACATTTCAGACTAAATGATGAGGCCTTCTTAAATAGGTGGGCAGGGAGTGGGGAGCTTCATATGTCCCCCGTCTTAATGTAAAATATGGTTGTTTTGTGTTTTTAGGAGCAGGCCATGCCCCTGTCGGTATTCAACCCATTTTTATGCTTTTTGTCACCATTTCATCTAGTCTTATGACTATTTCAAGGCCATGAGGCTTGTCAGAATTTTACCCTTACATGTCCTCAGTCATTGGTTGCTCATAATTTCACTGGGGTGGGGCTACATCCATCAGTGAGGGGAGCTGTGAAGTAAAGTGAGGTGAAATGTATGCTTCTACAGCTTCTCCGCTCATTTGCGGGCTCACCAGACAAAACTTTCAGCTAAAATATGGTGTTCGTTTACTGATGTACTGATGTACACTGTATCTGTATACAATACAGATCTTACTCGTCAATACAAAACAATGCAGTCAGAGATGGCATTAAGGATTCACATGTTGGAACAGACAGTCAATAAACTCCGAGAGCAACTTGGTAGGTGTTTATCAATACTTGGGACTTAATGACCGGCTTTTACATTGGAAAAATTACCTTGTAATTGAGATGAAAATGCAGTTTACCTGTGATATTTATGCACAAACACTCTTGAGTGTATGGGAGGCGTATATTGTAGGAAAAGGGATATTAACTAAGGTACAGGAATGTGGGTTCAATGAAGTGCAATCTATGAAGATGGTATGTATGAGAATGTCATTTCAGTAACCAAGATCTCACTTTTTCTTTCAGTACAGCTCAAATTGAAGGGGTGTGTTTAGCAGTAGCTTCTAAGTGACTCCTTATCTTATATCAATTTGTCGGTTTGTTTCATAGCAAATAATACAAGGCCATGTGGACAAAATCTATTAATTTTCAATAGCAGAGGACCTTGAGACACTAAGGGCACGCTTTTGTACTGTAAACAAAAGTTTAAATTAACAACAGGTGTAATTTTTCATGTGTACAAAAATTACAATAATTTTTCTTCATTTTAAAAATAAAACCCAGCTTCAACAGAAGAGGAACTTAGAAAGACTAGAAAGGAAAGAGATGACATGAGGAAAGAAAAAGATGATATAATAGCAGAACTACAGTTTAAAATAGATCACATGGAATCAGCATATGAAAGTGTGCTTCATGTGAGTATACAGCTGTACATGTGCATATTATGATAGGTGGAGTTCCTAAAAAATAGCCCTTACGTGTGTTTACGTCAAATGAGCAAATTTCACCACCAAGCCTTGTTTTGAAATTGTTAAGTTGTGAAGTTTTGCATAAAAGAATCCCTGAGGTAGTAAATTTGAAAAGAATACCCACACACAAAGAGTGCAAGCGCAGAAAATTTTCCTTGCAAATGAGGCTTGGTGTTGAAATTTGCTTGTCTGACGTAATCATGCATAAAGGGCATGAGCCTGGTCTTAATAGGATGAGGCCTAGTATGACAAAAAGATTCTTTGCACCAGTTGCGGTTAGCCTGCAGTTCCAGGCTCTCAGATAGTCAGGTCCACAAAATTGAAGAAGGACAAACACAAAAATAAAAAGAGAGGAAACTTTGATCACATGCTCATATTTTCACATGCCTTTCACTCACATGTCATCCCTTCTATCTGAGAGCCTGCCAAACAAGCTACGTTACAGTTTACTGTAATATAAGGTATTATTAATAATAATAAGACCCTAATGCAATGTACCTCTGTTATGAACACATTTTCCCACTTCCTGGGCCCTCTAAATTCTCTAATTTAATGACCCTCTCGTGGCTTTGAATGCATGACTTAAATGGCAAAAGATGCTTGCTCAGCTTTAGCAGACACTTACCCCTCCTACCCAAAAGATCGTACTATCACTATTGTCATGGATCTGACAATCTAACTGGTGTTTGAGTTCCAAACATTTGTAGAAGGTGAAACTTTTGTGACTAGTTTTTTTTTCCTCTTAGGATGCTTTTGACAGAATGGCACAGAAGGTTGAGGATGCCAGAACAAGATGGGAGACAGAGTCATCTGAGATTCAAGAGAGAAACAAACAGCTTCTGCTGGAGTTTGGCTTGAATCCACTAGAAATCTAGAATGATTCCTAATACCGGGCCTTAAAAGTTGACTCAAATATTATTAATAGGAGATACTCTGTTTACTTGCCAAGATAGAAGATTACATGTTCAGGCTATAAACACCAGAAGTGAGCGAAGGACATGTACATACACAATTAAAGTCATGCACACTGTACAGTACTTTTTTATTTACAATGTTATCATATAGTACAGCTAATCTGCACATCAATAAATAGTAATGAATATAAGATGCAGGTGGCTTCATTAGAAATTTGTTACTGGTTGATATTGGCACTTTGTAAGCTCCACATATAAGTCTGTCACGCCAAACTCAATTTTCAAGCAGGCTAAAAATTATTAACCAAAGTAAAATCACTGACATGTTGGATTTGCTTTAGATACATTACCATAGCTACACCAATCACACACCGATACCAGTGTCAGAGAGTTCTATCCACATTTTTTTTTTCAATACCGGTAAATAAAAAATAATATGCTTGAAAACCAGTTGGTACTCAGAAGATGGAATTACATGTACCTTACAGCAACAACCATGACACAACCTTATAGCTCTCAACAATAAATTACGAGTACCACAAAATAACAGAAGGCTATTTGAAGACATTTTTACAGTGATATGCATTCTACACTGCACGACAGCAACTTTTCACTTGACATGTGACAGTAAAGGTACAATGGTCCAAATGTTTTAGTCATCAAAGCTCATTGTCTGTGCCTCTCCACCACTAAGAGTCATGTGCTCTGTAGCAGCCGCCACACCCCCAATATTAAGATCGTCATTGCCACCATCCAGTTGCAGGTCATTTGACAGTTGGTTGTCTTTGGCAAGTTGATTAAAATGCTGGTGAAGGGAAAAAAGATACAAAACAAAATAAATAAACGTGAATCTGAAGTCATAGAAAAGTAAGGCTTGACTGTCCTTAAAATTTATGGATTATTATGATACCTGTGAGTTCTTGAATTCTGAGAATAGTGTGAACAGCACATGAAGTGCGTGGATTCTGTTGCTATGTACAGGGATGTCGAGGATACCTGTCAAAAAGAATTTAAATGAGAAACAATTCAGTTGAACATTAATCTTTGTCTACTGGCTTCTTATCTGAAATAATTCATACGAGATGTTAGTCTTTATGTTTCTTAAAATGAATGACATTGCCTTGCTAATTTATACATCTATTTAATAATGTTGACTTAATGTTTAATTATTTTACTTGGACAGTTGATTCAAGTTTTTCATATCACCAACACGTGCTAAGACTTACCTTATTCTCCTTTATTTTCGCGGGGCTTAAATTTCACGAAAATTTTCTCGGCACATTTCGCGAGTCTTTAATTTCGCGATCGCGGAGAAAAATTGTGTTTGCAGGGAATTTAATTTCGCGAAATTGACGATTAAGTGACTTTACTTTTTCTTTTTTACAAAAATTGTACGTTAATCAACGGTGGTGCAGGCTTTAACATGGCCAATTCATTTTTGTGTGGCTTTCGTGGATTCCATGTTTACAAAGAAATTTGGAAGCCCATCGTCGGGGAGCTTTTGAGATGTTCTCACGAAGGAAACGATATCTACGATACTAAATTGCAGCTAACAAACGGCTCCGTGGTCGCCTGGCCGATTCGATTATAGGCCATTTGCCCAGAGAGATTTCTAGAGCTACTCGCTTTTTCTTATTGAGAGGTGGGATGGTTCATCTTAAAGTTACTGATGAAAACTACCGTCGATCCCCATTGATTCAGGGAGGTCTGGAAATTCCTGTTGAGGAGATATGTGAAATGGATGATACACCAAGGAACAGGGCAAAAATGGAAAGATATAAGACACTCGTAACTACACACTACAAAGAGCCGGGACAGGATGGTCAATTTGACGACTCTACAAAGGATTTGTTGGAGGAACTGTGCGAAGATGATTACTCAGATGCCGAAGAAGAACTTGAGGCGAATCGTGACACTGATTAACATCTAAAGTTGATAGATGACAGCTCTTTGCAATAACACTTTGTGTTAAAAATTGTTTAGTTTCCTTGAAAACACACATACATGATTTTTCTATGTCCATTAAATTTAGAGAAATCAAAGTTCGCGGTCGTTATTTTTCGCGGGTCTTTAAGTTCGCGAATTTTTTTAAATCGCGAAAATCGCGAATTTAAGAACCTGCAAAAATTAAGGAGAATAAGGTAGATGTTTTTAGCCACCCATGCCACCTTTGAGGTGAGAATACTCGATAAAACCCTTACCCCATTTCAGACCAACGCATCTGCCTTTCCCTACCCTACTTCAGACCTAAGCTGCTGTTTTCAATATGTATACTGAATTACAGACCCTGGTTCCAGAGAGCACTAAGGCTTGCCTTATTTCAGTTTAAAATGGTTAAAATCTATAACCCAGTTCAGATCTGGGGGAACTCTCCTATGAAAATGATGGGAATGGTTGTCCAAAAATAACATTAGAGTTAAGCCCTAAAAGAGAGTCACCAATCTGGGTGTAGGTAAGGTTTATTATGAACTATAAAAGAGACCATATTCCAATAATATGATGTCATTTGTGACTAATTTAAGGTGATACCTTCATGAGTAAAATAAAAAACATACCCTATGGCACTGGCCATTACATAGGGGAGTGTTCCCCTTCTCCAATGGCCCTGGTCTGGGTAAATGATACAAGTAGTTTCATATTGGTAATTTGTGATAGCTAGACTAAGGTTCCCCTAATCCCTAGTACCCCTCAAATGCATGATTACAACTTACCACAGACCAAGTCAACATACTGATTTAACTCAACATCCAGATCAGCTGTTGGAAGCCCAACCTATTATAGATGAAAAGAACTTCAGTAAAGCTTTTAACCCTGGATGGGAATTGGATCATGTTTCTTCTGCACAAAGTCAATTTTTGCCAGCAGATTGCAAGGAAATCTCACTCTGAAGGATGAAGCTACTAGTAACTACCTGATTCAAAAGTTCTTCAAATTCTGCTGGCCACTCCTGCATAAGAAATTCAATATCTGGCATGTTTCTGTTAAAATGAGAAAGAAAAAACCATGTCTATAAAGCCCTATTATGGGCATACATTTCATTTAGTAACCTTGCTGAAGTTATTAGCTAAATTGATTTGCATTTACTCTTCCCTTACTTTTTAAAGTGGATCAAAGCACAAAAAGAATTTTTGAAGCAGAAAAGCTGCAAAGTGAGTGGAAAGAGCTTTTTGGGCCACGAGGCAGCCAAGCAAGGCCATGATATTCAATAGGAGTAAAGACTTTTTTAAAGTCTAGGACTACTGGAGGATACTACAGATGTGAAGTGCTCTGTCAGCATGCACTTGTTCAAGACTATACACACATTCCTGTACATGTACATGTATCTGAGCTGCCAAGTTTTCAAAGACAGCGAGTCTCCTTTAAAATGCAGAAATCCAGTGGTAGTCCTGGAGACTAGCTTGTGAAAAATGCAGATGTGTTTCACCCAGGCTGAAAGAAGTTAATCTTTAACCACCACATACCATGCACAATTCCATTTACTTAAAGACCTTTTAAGCCCAGTATTATTTTATTTAAGTCCTGTAAAATTAACTGCAAAATAAAAGTAATCTTAAACAAAATCTCTGCTTTTAGAAGTCCTCACCTCTGATAATGAACTGTAGGAGCAGGTTTTTGCCGATGAAGTTCTCTGCAAACAAGCCAAAAATTAATAAACAGTGCATAAACTACAATGGTTATGTGTCACCTGTGAAATATATCATAATTCTCATTTGTAATAACATCCATTACATTATTTCATTAAAATATAGGTCTTACAATTTTACAAATCATGCAAGTTTTAACTATAACATAACATAACATAAGATAATAATATAATAGGATTGACCACTACTGTTTCATATGGTAATCAATTTAAGGGATACCGTAATAAGCCTCTCCAAATATAAGCCCCCCAATCCGGTAACGCAAAAAACCCTAGATATTAAATGGTCCCTCCAAATATAAGCCCCCGGGGGCTTGTACTTGGAAAATTGCCCTCAAATACAAATAAAACAAAGCAAAAACGGTAAATTTACTTCCAACTATAAGGCTAGCCCAATATTGATTTTGAAACACAAATTTCCCTCTACAGATAAGCCCCTCCGAGTATAAGCCCCTCCAGAAATAAGCCCCTCAAAAAGAGTCTTTGAAAAATATAAGCCCCGAGGCCTATTTTAGGAATTTTACGGTAGATTAGTATAATTTACATATATTTATGATCACACCTGATACTGTCAATCCAGTTGTCCACAGCTTTAGGGTTCTTTTCTGGGTCTTCAATGCTACGTACTGTCTATAATGTGAGCAGATATACATTTTGTACATATATGATAATGAAATTAAGAAATTATTTTCATGAGTTCAATAACTTAATTCCTTTTAAAAAATCATTCAATAATAGTTATTTAATGTTCATTTTCATACCATAGCTTTCACATTTGTCTGCTTTGAGATGGTTCTGATCGTCAGATCCAGAACTGAAAGGAAAGAGGTATTATTATACATTTAACCCTTTAAGTCCCAATATCCACATACAAATTCTCCAAACTGGTCTCCATACATTTCCTTGAAGAATTATTTGAGAGAATTTGGTAAAAGATCAAATATTTTTCTCTTTGTGATCATTTTGTTAATTCTCATAGACTTTGCTCATGATAGTCTATGGATATCGTTAGGAGAAAACTAATCTTGAGCACTATTGGGACTTAAAGGGTTAAGAGTAACCACTTTTAACATGCAAAAAAGTGCTGCACTATCTAGTTTATTATTATAACCAGTGCACATTCTGCAGCTAGTCTAAGGCACCTTGTGTAGAGTTGTATTTCCCTCTTACTCACACGAGGGGATAAAGTGCCTGCATGGGAGGTGACGCTGTGCGTGTCTGATAGCGTTGGGCTACTTATTGGATTTTGTGACTAGGCTATTGGAAATCACATATTACAGAAGTAAAATACAACAAATTGCTTAAATTTGTAATAAATTCATGTGGTTTGAAGCTTTTTTTCAAGCTCATCAGATGAAGTAAAGTTATTACTACCATTATTACAATGAATCAATAAAGCTGGCAATAAAATAACTGACAAATAGCAATTAATTCTCAATACTGCTTGTCGAATTAAATAAATTTCTTTTTTGGGCTATTATATGCTAAAACTGACTTTCATTGCACCCCTGAAATAAAGGAGAATTTTTCAAGAGTGAGTACTTCTTGGGTTTAGATAATGCCAATAGGGTTTGAGTTTGCTTTGTAAGTGACGTCATTGTGAATGCATTCAAATAGCTTTCTGCTTTCTCACAGTACCTGTGGGATCTGATTGCTTTGCAATGGGTTCATCCAGTACAACCAATCCTAACGTCTCAGGTTTACCATCTGGACGAGTTACCTGACAAAGTGAGCAAAACACCATCATAAGATATATACTTTATATAATATAACTAACTACAGACAGTACTGTTTTGGCCTTCTGGGCCTCATCAGTGCAGTGCTGATGTTAAGATGGAGGATATATCATTGGTATCTCATTTTTGTGGGAAAATTCAATGTAGGGTTTCTGAGTGTGGTATTTTCCAAATGGGATCTTGTATCAACTGATGAATGAAGGTTAGGCAATGATAACAAAATAATTGGTCAATCAATGTCCCCACGAAAATTAGCTGAAACATGGTAAGTGAGCCGATTCACAGATTCAGTTCAAAGAGCTATACAAAAAAATTAATAAGAAAAAACATTTGAGTTTATAAAAATAATGATAATAATAATAATAATTAACAATAATGATAATATCTTTTTAATGTACTACATGTATGTAAACACTAAAAAAATTAGATTTTAACTTCTTCAATTCTACCATATGAAAATAACTAATACCTTCAAGAATGCATCAATATCTCCGACTGCAGGAATAAAATCTGGATTAAATGGCTTTAGCTTGTGCTCCAAATCAATTGTTTGAGGTGTATACCTTAGGAGTTATACAAGAACAAAGATGATGCAAATATTATTATCATCCACATAGAAATCACTGGAACAGCAAAGAACTATTGCAAGAGCCTCCTCTGTATAATTATGTCAAGGGAGGTTCCAGTTAACTTTTCCACTGTTTTCAGGGACCCTGCTTCCTACTGTTGAGCCTTCAAAGAAAAATTAATAACTACGTACCTCGTAATGTACTGGAAAAGCTCTTTAATTTCTTGGCTGACATGAAGGTGTTCATAATCAGCTGGATCATAGGCCCTGAAAGAATAAAACAATGAATTTCATGTATAGAAACCTGTACTGGTTGCAATTAACCACACAATCAATCCTTCCTGTAATAACAGTAAAGTGTTAGGTGTCTGCATTACAGAGGTGTCAGTTAACTAGAGGTAAAAATTGTGTAGGGCTTTGCGTCTTTGTGAACAAATGGGAAGGTGTCCGCGTGGGTGTCTGCTAAGAGAAGCTTGTATGTATGTTAGAAATAATCAAGATCATAAAATGGTGGTAGACTGATTCACTAAAAAATGCTGTACCCCTCTAGAGCAGTTCCATGGGTATCTTCATCATCATCGTCATCCTCTGTGCTGTCACTCTGATCATCTCCTTCATCATCGTCATCATCATCATTCGTTTGTTTGCTCAGCACTTCTTGGCCAGTTGGTCTCCCAGGTCGTTCTTTGCCCCCTGGTTCTTGTGGCCGGGCATAACCTCCAGGGGCATCCTACAGATACAAGTGTAAAGGAAGATAATGTGTGAATACATGCAATAAACATTATGTTCATGTCTTGTACTGATGGACAGGTTTGTAAAGTGTTCATACGAGTCACGCTTGCTAGAGTTTTAGGAAAGCCTAAGGCTCATGTACAGAAAAACAAAATTTACTACCGGTACTACATCATTCCAACATAATTTAATACTTTACCCCATGCGGACAACAAGAGGCTGAAATAAAGCTGAATAGTATCCCACACGTACCACAGTCCAGGGATATAGGAAAAATGGAATGAGGCAGCATGGGATTTTTACCCTGACGCCAGATTATACTAACCTTGCTTTCTACTAAGTCGTCATGATCAAACTCATCGTCACTTTGGTCATTCATGGAGATGGATCCAATCGCTATAAACATGCAAAAATTTTTAATCAAAATTATGTACTTATACAGGTGCCACACATTAAAAAAATGATAATATTTAATGCAAGCAATCATATTATAAACTAAAACATCCAAAAAAGTTAACAAGAAAAAGGTCAGGACAAAGTATCAGTAAGCAAAGTTCTTTTAACAGCGAAGCAACATCCTACAAGTACACCATCCTTCTACCTGGATTGTAACCTCCAACGGTTTTAGGTCCAGGAGGTCTTGGACTAGGGGTAAATGTGCTGGCAACGTCCTCTTCGTCGTTTACTTCAAGAGCTTCATCATAGGGTTGGTTAACAACAAGCTAGAGAGAAAAAATTCATCACTCAATGTAGTATCATAAAGAAGCAACTTGAGAATACCGAGCAACTTAGGTGCTTTACCGAAAAACCCTGGTCCATGGTCCCGTCCTGGGCTTAAGTTACTTTTTAAGTTTTGAAATCACCTGCTACTACAGTGTACAGTCTCTGATTGTGAATTAGACAAGTGATGATTACAAGTGCTACTGTGGTAGCAGAACTGATCCACTGTTCGTGACTGTGGACTGTTATAGCAGGATTTGTTGAGGAATATTTCAGTGGCCAGCTATTCTGAAGTGTAACCCAAACAAAACTTTAAAACAACTTTGTGTGTGTTTGTTGCTCACATTGAACAGTTGGTCAAGCAAAACGGAAAGGGCCATAAACATGGGACAGGGTCATGCTGATTTTACAACTGTTTAATTGGGATATTTCCATAAATTTCACTTTTAAGTACACAGCAATGTTAACAACACGGACAGTCTTGCAATTCATTTTTTCTCATTTTTTCTACCTGAAACCTCTCTTCACAACAGAGAAAATCACAAAGGTACTGATTTAAAACCTGTAAATTACGTAAATGTGTTTTCACAGAAGGAATTGATCTGGAAAAATGGGAAGTTCTCATATCACTTTTCGTTAAATGTTTTGTCTCTACTCGGTCTATCTCATTTCTACTTGGTAATTAATCTTAGACTTTTGTTCCAGAATTCGGTGCAAACGATAAAGCATTAAGCAAGTTATTCAATGCACCTGTCCTTTAAATTTTGAATTACCGCAAAAGCGCCAACGTGATCTAGTCAATCAACATGTACTTAACGTTGGTATTTTTGCAAAGGAAGAAAAATTATCGATTTTTTTTTTAAGATGGTACCTTTCCTTCACTCAAAAGGTGTTTAAATTACTACACTAATACTTCAAAATATGAACTGGACTGCAAAAGGAGTGTATACGCGACAATAATTCCTTGTATCCAAGGACAACGAAACCCGATACCTCGCAAAAAAATTGTCCAACATAAGACAACATTATTGAACGTTCAGATCACTGTTTCTTAATTAAAGTGCTTCAAAACGACATAATAATAACTGGAGCCAGTAAAAAGTGCTTCTAAGACTTTAAAAAGAGATTAAAAACCTGCAAATCCAACACAGTTTACCTTTCTTCGCTCGTCATCGGAGTCAGCCATGAACGAAGCAACCCACCAGGTTCATTACAACTTACATGACGTTCCCTCCAACGGGCTGGTAAACTAGTTCCTAGTCCTTTTCAGAACGTTTAAATGAAAGGAAAAGAAAAATTCAGAAAGAGCATGGATCTATTATCCATGGAAAGAGCAGATGAAATATGTCGACTCGAGGAAAGTCTAAGGAAATAATAATAATAATAATTATCATCATCATCATCATCATCATCATGGGTGGGGGGAAATCTCAGAGGGGTGTTGCAAAGAGTTACACCGCCTACAGAACCATGCAGCTCGAATTATATTACGGAAGAACACCTCAAATGACACTTTCTGTGGGCTAAACTGGTTAAATCTAGCTTCCAGAAGAAAAATGCTTAAATGCATTCTAGTTTTTAAGTATTTAAATAATCTAGTACCTAAGTATCTTACCCAATTTTTTAAAAGGAATGCAGATTTGCACAATCATGCAACTAGGAGAAGCAATCACCTGCACCCGCCAAAGCCTAAACGTAACATTGGAAAAAAAAAACTTTTAAGTATGCAGGGGCTATTTAGTTCAATTGTTTGCCCAATTATGTTAAAAGTGCCACGTCTGTAAATAGTTTTAAAAAGATGCTAACCGAGAATTTTACCTTATCATTTTAATTTCTTACCTCTTAGCGCACACTTTATATTGACCTAGCTAGATTTTTTGCAGTGTTATTGTTTATTTTAGTCCTGTATATACCTTGGGAATTTTTGAAGAGTATACTTTTTATTTCTCAGGGCCCCTATGGATACCAGCCTCGTTGCTGAACGGGCTACCCTCATTAAATAAAGTTGATTACTTACTATCATCATCAACATAACAACAACAACTCCAGACATGACATGGTGGGAAATGAAGGAGATCGAGAGGGTTTTTTTTGGGCTTCACCTTTATAACAGTCTGCCGCCGTCGGTTGCTTTCGAAAACAGGGCATGTTCTTTCATTACATACATACAGGAAATAATTGAGACACAAAAATAGATATAATGGTATCTTTTATGCATTTATAACATTCATTACAAGTTATTTTTCTGATCTCTCATAAAAATATATAAATAATAATTCTAATACCAACAAATAATTTTTTCTTTTGGTAGCAAAATTCTTAGCAATAACATGAATATTTAAAACCCTTAATCTTTTCTTTGTTTGGCTAGTGAACCAAACACAACTGTAACAAGTAGAAAACGATAAAAGAGACCCATTTTCATTTCTTTCGCTCTTCGTTATTCAATAAGTTCAAAAGTACTTTTCCGTTTATTGTTCACTAACAAGCATTGTGCAGTAAAACCTTCACAACATCAATTCAAACTTATCAGAAAAGCAGGACAAGAGTACCTTACTCAGTTTGTAGAGACAGGCTCTCAGCCTTCAAACAAACACAAGAACGAGTATAGTATCGAACAAATTGAAGACTTCCGCAATTATCTACGCGGAAATACCCCAGCTTTCTCGCCGGTCGTTACTGTCAACAGGATACTTAACAACGTCCATGCTACCCAGCCCAAAACAGTGAGCAACTACTAATGGGAAAAGCAAAGCAGGGGCGTTTTTGACCAATGCACGTCAACCGGAACTGGACTTCTTAATTCTCACAAAAAAATGTCTTTATACGAGAACGGATACTAAGCAATACAAATTTGTTAGAATCAATGCATATCCCAAAGGAAAAAATGCCTCACTTCAGGTTGACGTGTGTCTCTAAAGAAGACGGTGACGACGGCGCGTGCCCATCTAAACACCAAACTGAGCGTCAAATTATGCACTGAAGGTCAAGCTTTTCCTTTCTGCGTGCTCTCGCGTTCATTAAACGTTGGTTTATCTTTGCTAATTCTGTCTTATATCTATCGAAAATTTGCTCTCCGCGTCCATCTGAAATGGGAAGAATTTGCGTAGCTAGAAATCCATGAGCGTTTTGACGTCTTGAATCCTTTGCTGTCTCCTCTCTTCCGCTGATGACTTGGCTTTGAACGCCCCAGCCATCAGTTCTCTCTTGGTCTTCTGCAGTTCGAGCATGCGCTCTTCCACTGAGTCTTTCACAACAAACTAGTAAAGTAAAAGTGGGTAAAAAGACGTATACTCGTCTTTTAACGCAACACTGTTGTGCGAGAACTTGCAGGAAAATTGCGGCTCTTGAATTCATGTTTAGACTCCAAGGAAGAAGAAACTTATGTTTTACTCCGCCTAAAGGAATCCCTCCATCAACTTGTTTCAAAAGTATTTTAAGTATAGGATAAAACGATGGGCTACAAGTATTATGAATTCGTACGAACAGAGATTTCTTGGATGTGAAAAACCGACAAAAGGGATTGTTAATGTTCAAAAAGGAGGGCGGACGCCCTGCTGCAAAATCAAGATACTGTCAGTCTGCAGGCCAGGACAAATTAAAGTAAAAGGGTTCGAGGATAGAGCATCATTTACATTCATCGATATACAACTAACAAGGCATTTGAAAACAAAATATAATACTCTAAATGCTAAAAGGGAAGAGAGATTGAAGACTAAATAAGAGTTATGTTTGTAACTATAATACGATTGTTGGAGTTGTACCACAGGAAGCCTACCTTTGTAATAATAACATCCCTAGTTTGTCCCAACCTGTGGCATCTATCAAAACACTGATCCTCAGCGGCAGGATTCCAAGCCTAGAATGACAAACAAATTTTAAAACCCTTTAAGCCCTAATATTCACACAAGACCGATCTCCATCGATTCCTGTAAGAATTAGTTGAAAGAATTTGATAAAAGACCAACGCCTTTTCCCTTTGGTGATCATCTTATTGATTCTCATAACCTTTCCTCTTGATGATGTATGGATGTTGCTGGAGGAAGTTGACGTTGATCACTCTTTGTTTGTTTTGCGGAAATACCGATACATCTCTCCGGTTTGGTGTTTGCACTTGGCGAGGTTTAAAACTTTTTGCGTCTTCTTGTTGTCTACGTGACGTTGATGATGACGCTGCTTGTGACAATTATAATGATGACGATGCTAATAATTATCATGACTGCGATGTCAAAACAGCAGGGTCCGAAATTAACTTTTTAATACGAGCGCCAGCTGGCGATCAAGGATAAATTTTTGGTCGCCAGAGGGAAAATTGTGGTCGCCAAAAATTCTCCCTCCCAGTTTTTCAAATAAAAGTTTCAACACGAATAAAAAATGCATGGTATGGACGTTTTTGTGCTCAAAAATTGCACTACTTCCGCTCCCGATACCAGAAAGCAACCGTACGTGTACGAGTGAAGTCTTATTTTTTTCCACAAATTACTTTTGGAGATATACATGTAAAGCTATCTGGCCTAGAACGTAGGAACAGAAAGCTGTCTGCTCATGACTGCACTGATCGTATCAAAACTCTATTTTCCTCCGATAACTACCACGAGACATAGCCACCATGTTGCTGGTACGAGTTATGTGGCACAGTTGTGGCCCGGTACCAGTCCACAAAGTACATAACGTACTTACCGTATTTCAGCTGACATAACATGGCGGCTTGGAAACGTTCAACTCGTATTGATTGTAGCTGTTGTGGAGGCATTATTACAGGAAAATTCGTTTCACTTTTAATTAAAAAATATCAGCAGGACAAAAAGTAAGACAGCTGTTGGCAAATAGCTTAGAGGTTTCAATTCTTAATCAGTTTCTCCGAACGTTTAAGTCCACAATAACAAGCAGCTTTACAAGTCGCTAGCTGGCGACCAGCTATGAAATTCTGGTCGCCAGGACTAAATTTTTAGTCGCATTGGCGACCAGGAAGACGCAATTTCGGACCCTGAACAGGACAATTTAGGGCCCGTTTCCTCGCTCTGACTGTGGAGAAATTAGAGAGCTTTAGCATCGACGACGGCGACGGCAGTAAAAACGTCACTTTTAAAATGAATTAGCGTTTTTTCAAACTTTGTCGCGTTTACTCCAATTCGCGGAAAATGTCTAGTGTAGGCTAATTTCCCTGGAGGTGATATCTTGGGCACCGCACTCAAGTTTAAAAAGAGAAAGAAAATTTCGTCGTCGCTTGTTTACCTCCTCCATAAAGTGCAAAATTAGGCGGCATTTTCACGTCGTAGTCGTGCAGTTACGCCAAAGAAATGTACAAAAAAAAAAGTGATGCACGTGCAAACTTGTTGTTTTACTTAATAAACTTATTGCTGTTTTGACGTTCTCGTTGCCGTCGACGTCGTCGTTGCTAAAACTCCCTCTTAACTCAAGTTTACTTGACTACGGTCAAAACTAAAAAAAAAAGAATATCCCCCACCTCTCAAGTATAAAAAAAGATAAAAATTGTGTATCTACATACAGGATCAAGAAGGAACACTCTGGAAGCGGCTGTTAGGTTCAATCCAACTCCACCTGCCTTCATTGACAGTAACATTACTGTAGGGGAATCTGGGCTCTTCTCATTAAACCACTCAATCACTTCCGCTCTCTGCTTCTGAGACATTTTACCATCGAGACGGACGAAGTTGAACCCTTGTGCTTTTAGAGGGGTCTCTAGTATGTTGAGCATAGAGGTGAACTGTGAAATGACCAAGCTCTTCACCGAGGGATCTTCAGTTCTCAGCTTGGTTAACAGAGACATCAGCGCATCAACCTGGAAATGAAAATTACACAAGGTGTCAACTATGGCTCTCTCCCGCATTACACTCCAGTGGCACACATAAAAACCAAAGCGTTTTCCTTTATGAACCCAAGCTCGCCTTGATAGCCTGCGAGCAAGCTCTCCGGCTTTTTGGTGAGCGAAGCGAGCAGCTAGGGGCGGAGGAAAAGGAGGAAAAACTCTTGTCTTTGTGCAATAGTGTAATAATTTGTTCTCCAGGAATCGGCGTAACTGACGCTGACAGGCGGCTGATACATTTCTTGTTTCCGGCGACAGTTTAAACGCTTTGCGGTTTCTTGCGGTTTCCAGGTTGGAAAAAAGATTAAAGATCGTTCCAAGCTCTCCTTTCTTTCTCCCGCCCCTCGCTCTTGCTTCTCCTCTCGGTTTGCTGCTCGCGCGTGCGCGTGACTTTTCACAATATCTCCCAAATAAGGAGCTTGCTCGCATGCAGGAAAGGTTAATAGGACAATTGCACGATTACGTCATTTTACTACTACCAGAATTCCAGAATCCTTGAGTTTGTTGTTTTCTTGTGCAAATTAAGGCTATCGTTCTTTAATCCTCAGCGGGATTGACAAATTTAAATAACAAAGCAAAACCGAAATGAATTCTGGTAGTTGTAGTCAAATATCGTCATCGTGCAATTGTCCTGTTCCACTACTTATTAGAAATGCCCATGTCGGCGGGAAACGTGGACCGGAAGTAAATTTGACTTCCGGTTGACGTCGCCCCCTAGAAAACGTCTGGTACTTAAGTTCCCTAACGTCTGTGGACAGGCGAACTCAAACCCAGCCAAAACAGTCAATATTTCTAAATAGCATGGGTTTTTAACGGGTCAGCGGCCCTTCCTCGAACGTCCTAATAATTACAGTGCCCGGAAAGCTATTGTTGTTTATTTTTAAGGTAGAGGTTTCAACGGTTTTGCAGATGACATGATGGAACTATCACTTCACAAAACAAAATGGGCTGGTTGGTTGGCTAGGATGTGCGTTTTCATTCTTTAGAATTGGTTTGAATATTTTATTTCGGACCCGAAAAGTAACTGTGGGACTTTCGTGAAACGGGCCACATGCTGGCTAGCTCTAAGTGTTGGTAATCCCTGTGAGAAATCAAACCTTGGAGCTCGAGTGCCACTCTCCTTCGCCATCGGTCTCATCAATACATTCCTCAGTCTCAGGGGGTACTTCCACTAGTACATCCATTCCAATACAGCCTCGGCAAAGGGGACAACGAGGATTCAACTCCGAAGTCTTGATTACGTCCTCAATACATCTCCGACAGAACACATGCGCGCAGTGTGTAATGACTGGAGTGCACAAGGAATCCAGGCACACCGGACATTCTTCGTCTGCGCCCGAGCTCAACAGGGTAATCAACGTGGACACAAGTTTCTTTCGAAGCTCTTCAGGGGTGGAACAGTCTGTTTGGAGCAAAAACATTTTGATATGAGTTCGCAATCGTGATGATCTTTCAATCAGATTTTTCTTGAACCAGGCAGCTTTTTACAGAGTCACTCGAATTCGCACGTAAACCACAATCCTTCACGCGATAAATCAAGTACGGAACGCAGTGTTCTATCCGATACCAAGACAACGAGAAAAAAATTTCTTGGTATAAGATGAAACCACTGTAACAGGTGCTTTATGTAGTTCTTCAAATGAACAATAATTCTCTAAAAAAAAGTCCAGCTAAAGCATTAACATTTTTATAGTATTTATTGTGTCCGAAATCCAAACATCCTTTAATGTATAGATAACTATTGTTTTCCCCTCAAGTTTGAGTTAGAGACAGTTCGGATCCGTATACTGTCACAAAAAAAGTGATCTTAGTTACAGCACTCGGAACCTTAAGGTATAGGAATGCAGCTGCCAGACAGTAAGGGTGAAGGTGTTACTTGGGACTGGCAATTTCACAGACTGCGATCAGGCTCGCTTATTTGAGGAATCTCGTGATCTGATAAAGCCGGCGAGAAGAAAAGGGAGAGAAAAAGTAAGCCTCACTTTTGTCGCAGTCTCGCACAAGCGGCCACCAAGATAAACGCGTGATACTTCAAATTAGTGAGCCTTCTAGCGGGCTTATGACATCACGAAACTTACTTTCAGTAGCGGACAAAGCAGCAGCGGCGGCGCACAGCTTAGGATGACAACAAAGTTGACGTAACCTCATCAGAATTGCTAGCACATCGGCATAATTGTTAAGAATAGTACCAGACTTGAAATACCTGAAGATGGGATAAGATGATAATTACATGGTTCAAACAACTTCAGGAAAACAAATTTCAAGGACTTTTGAAAAACAAATTACAGTTTTCAAGGACTAAGATTTATTCAATAAATCGGTATTCTTTAACCCACTTTGAACACCTTATTGGCTAAACCACTGAATGGACTCATTTACGTTGATCACATTATTTCATACTACTTTCCGTAACAACACTTGGCAAAATGGCAACAGTGGCAACAGTCACTGGGTATGACTGGCAATTGCATCTGAGGTAGAAGCAGCATTTGAAATGTTTAAAGAAACAGAAAATAAAATATTGTTCATGCACAAATATGTTTTTACGTTACCCGTGAGTTTAGCAGGTTCTTACACTGAGGATGAGCCAAATTTTCCTCGGCGAAATAATGTAATTTCACAGAAAATGTGTGGAGTAAACAAGCGAGTTAATTTCAAGGACTTTTCAAGACCTAATAAAGGAATCATGTACTTTTCACGGACCTTAATCGAATTCAAGGACTTTTCAAAACGACCTCTAAAATTCAAGACCTTTTCAAGATTGTACGAACCATGGATAAAATGTCACTTTCAAACGCGCTCTCAGCGATCTCTCAAGAAAAGATAGAGGGTCTGTAAACAGGCTAGAAGAAAATTATAGTGAGTGGCTTTAAAAAGAGGCTTCAAAAGCGTTTTGAGGTTGCAGAGTGAAACACATTCCAGTGCCGGATCCAGACCTTGAGATAAGGGGGGTCCCGGTCATGCAGACCCTTACATAAGGGGTGGGGGGGTGGTCCCCCAAAATAATAATTTTGGGAGACCATTTTGGTCTAAAAATAAGGGGGGGGAGCCGGGCCCCTCGGGCCCCTCCCCTGGACCCGCCACTGCATTCAGTTACAAAATACTTACTTTCCAATGACCAGCCTTCCCTCTTTCGCCATGGAGTCGTACAGCTTTCTCTCTTCAAGTGACAACTCAACTGGTTGTATAAACACCTGTCTGTCTGGTAACTCCACCAGTGGCTTTCCGTCCACTTGTTGAGTCTTGGTACGCCGCATAGCAATGCTCCTCATGAGCAACTGTAAACGTCTGTAACAGGGTAAAAAGTACAAATTACAAAAGGTAAAGGGCATACAGCGCATTACATTGGAATCAAAACTCTAGAGCACCAGAAGCCCATAACCCGGAGCGAACATCTGCCATAATTTATTCGGCCTAAATGTATATCACGGCGTTTTCACAGACAGGTTTATTTTTAGATACATTTTAGTGTACTTTTCCCTGCGAAAAAGGAAGGTGCGCTCCGTCTATGAGTGAATTCGAAGTGAAATATATCAAAAAGGAAAACTAAACGCCATAAGGTCAAAAATACCATTTTTAGGTCTGTAGGTTTTGAAGACTGGTCTAAATTGGCGCCAAATTCTTGCTAAAAATTAAAAAAACGCTAAAAATAAATGGTCGGTGAAAACGCCGGGACACGAGTACATGATTCAGGAAGTTACTCGCTTGGCTCCAAAGAAAGCCTCAGTGAATTTTAAGCACTGTTCGATTCTCTCCAATAGTTTTGCTGAAAACAGAAATAAAGACGCCAAAGCGAAGTGTTGACTGACTTCTAGAAAGTTCGCTGAACCAACCAAAAGCCTATGCGTGCGTATTCGATAGCCGTCAAACCAATCAAATCACAGACTTTTAAATCATTTCAAGGTCCAAAAATTGTTGTATGAATGAAAATGGCTATACCCCAGTGCAGTCTCATCGCCCTCACTGATCGGCCGTTCCATTGTTCGTCTCCACCACTGTCTGTCGGTAAACGGCTCCAGTTTCAAAAAGCTGATGATGGAGAATAAGTCCTTCATGGAGTTCTGGATAGGAGTCCCAGTTACAACCCATCTGCGGTCGGCCTTCAGTGCATGTACGGCTTTGGACATCATGGCGCTGGGATTGCGGATGACATGACCTTCATCAAGAACAACCCTCAACCACACCGTGTTCACAAGCGGTGATTTTCCCTGAATAAAATAGAAAAATCACTTCTGAAATTAAATATCCTCAAAGAAAAGCTGCGTCTTGTTTTTCAGCTTTTTATCGGAGAAAAAGGTCTTTTGCTTCGAGAAAAAATAGAACCGTGTGTGTGACCGCTTTCACCGGGACAAATTTACCAGGAAAACGAGAAAACTTTCAAACGAAACGACCATTTTTGAGTTTGTGCTTGGTTGTGCTTGTTGAATTGCTAGGGCTGTTTGTCTTGGGGGACAAATTTCGATCCAGTTTCCTACGCAACCTCGTAACAGCCAATAAATGAAGCAGGCTCGTTTTCAGAATTCTCTCTCTTGAAGCCATGACTGATGATGACGTCCCAAAAACAGTCCCATGGCGCAATTTGACAAAACACCGACCCAGTCCCAGTCTTTTTCGCACAACCTCAAAATGGCCAGTCAGTCGAGTCGCTTTGAATATTTTCCCGCGCAAAACTCTCGCTGCCGTGCGCACGGCGAGTAGCAAGCGGGAAGCTAAATGGGGTCCAACCACTCAGAATGTGGGAGGGAAATTCCGCAGTGTGTTTAGCCGCAGTGGCTGGTATATTTTGTTGCACCCAGCCGGATTCTAGCATACTCTTCTCAAGAAAGAAATGCATGTGTATGTAAGGTCACACCTTAGAAAATTCAGAAGATAATGTCTGATAGGTGGTAAGAACAACATCCTGCTCAGCAAGGAGTTTGGTGTCTTTGGTGCGTTCAGAGCCGTAGTAGGTGTACACATTAAGCAAGTCCTCGTGAACATGAGCTTCAAACTGGTCCTTGAGCAAAAACAAAATAAAAAAAATGTGAGTACTTTTTCTCAGAAAAGGACTTCAATCAGTAGTAGTGAACATTTTGGTTGTGACGAAATTATTAGAATTAAATTATACTGTTATATTCCTAGACTTTCACTCAACTAAACAGGGATAGACATTGGCTGATTCTTGGTCACATGGCCTTGACTAAAATCAAATGTATCCCGATCGTGATATATTAAGCAATGTACCGGGCTCAGGAAACATTACAGCACGTGATCAAGGCATGGTGGAAAGCGGCATGACAGAAGGCGGGAAAAACACTGCCAGTTTTCCTCGAGTCCTGGAAAACAAAACTAACTGTTTCCCTCCGGAACTGACATTAAGTGTATACTAGTTCAGTCAGGCATTTCTCATCTGAGTCAAACTGCCTACAATGTACCACAGCCTACTCCCAATAAAAATGAAAAGGATGCAATGACTCACCACGCCCTTGATTTACAATATTTCAATGAAATTTAACAAGGTAGAAACGATTTCATTAATAAATTAAATACTTGTTTCTACTTGACAACAAAATTTGCGTTCGTTTTTCCCTGTAGTAAAGAAACCTATTTTTCAGATTTCCTAACTTTACAAGTGTCTAGACAAACTAGTCCGCACACTTGTTTTTCTCCCCTTCCAAAAATTCTTGAAAAAGTATCTGGCCTATCTCTACAAGCTTTCGTGAAGGCCATACTCTGTGGCAGCTGTCTGTGGGTTGGTGTTTCAATTTTACCTGCCAGTTACTGAGTACAGAGAGAGGGCAGATCACCAATGTAGGTCTAGGTCCAAGGGGTGCAGCCTTTTCAGGAGCAGAAGGGACAGGAGGAGGAACTTGAGGCAGTGACGAACTTTGGCTTGATGTAGTATTTGTTGTAGCTATAGAGACAAAAAACAAAACCACTGCTTGGTCACTCGTGGATGTAGATATATAGTAACATACTATAATGTTATTAGTGAAATAATGAACACATGAATTTCATAAATTTGAATTGCAGAATGTAGAAAAAAAACTTGAAACAGTTATGCAGGGAAATTCCACTGGTTCCAAACTTAATATGCAGTTGTGAAAAGAAAGCCTGAAATTTTATCTAGCGTACCAGGATTCTAATTCTGATCTCTTCAGTACCCGTGTAGTGCTCTTTAACTGCGAGGATCTTCCTTACATTTATTCCTTCATTCTACATTTCAAATGTATGACGTCCACATACCGTCAACTCTATCTAAGATGAACACTTTCAGGACCAGCCCTGACTGTCCATCTTATAAAGATGTCTGGCTTATAGAGAGTCGAGGTAACCTGACACCAGTAATACTGTTTAACTTGTATGAAACAGCTGAAACTGGAACATTGTAACAGAAAAGTGGAATTGTTATCAAAACTCATTGTGCAATCAAACGTTCACCACAAGCAAATGTTCACAGCTTCATGGTCTACAAACTGGGGCAAGACTACAACTACAACTCACACTTCCATTTTGAGGTATTTTTCACTACATAAATCACATTCCAGTTGTCCACTGAAAGTTTCAAAATTGTCCGTTGTCTATCTTAGAGAGGGCAGAGGTAAGGGTTTGAAGCCCGTCACGCCAGTTTTTTTTGTCTTTTTTCACAACTGCAGAAGTTGTGACCTTAACTGCCAGTAAAATTAGTGTAAGGCATAAGACCATTTTGCTATGTAGCATTAACTAGTAAGTTCATTATTGATGTAGCACCAATGGACAGACAGCCATGTGAAAGTTTTCTTAAAAGAAGTTAAGATGGAGACACCACGAACAACAAGACATTTGTGATTTCACTTTTACCTGTGGGAAGTGAGGGTGTGTCTTTGACTTCAGCATCTTGAGGGAGCAATGGTAAGGGTGGTTTACCAGTTTCCTCCTCTGTTAAATCCACAGTAGTGACAGATGCAGGTTCATGCTTGCCTGTTTAATCAGCAAGAAAAGCAAATGCAATACAGTGAACCTCCTGTAAGCAACCACCCAAAATGTTAGGTTAAAAATAAAGGAAAATCATAAAACCGTAACCCCCAGGCTCAGGAGTGTTTTGGATAGATGTTCGCACATGGGAGGAAGTTGCTTAAGAGAGGTGTTCACTCACACAGGTTCAACTATGCTACATTGAGTCTTTGAAAAGCTGAAGTGTCCTTTACCCGAGAAAACAGCCAACATTTGGTGACGCTACCATTGGTTTCCCTGCCAAATGACGTTGCAAGCCGCAAGCCACGAGAAACAAGGGCGTAAAAATGTTTTCAGTGCCAAACGCACCCATCTGAGAACTCGACAGATCTTAAGAGAAAAGACGGACTGCTCGCAGTCTAATCTTTGGTGCATTTTATGCATCTGGGATGCAGGACGTAGAAGAAACAAAATCACAGAACTCCACTCAGGACAACACCCCCAACTCCACTCCTTTCTCCACCACCTCCTACACTACTCCTAACTCCACTTACCACTTCACCAGATGAATATAATTATAATGTATTGACCATCAGTTTCAACTTACACAAGGTCTAGTAGATGATGTTAAGATAACTTACTACAAATTGTTATTCAGACAGTTGCATTAACCTTTTTTTCCTTTCTTCTTCTTGCTTGCTGGCTTCCTTCCCCTCTTCTTGGCTGTCTTAGATTTGCTACTTTTTAGAAGATCACCTTCCTTTACAGTTGGCTGCTCAGCATCTTCTGCTTCTGTCAACTTTGGCTTTGTTGAAACCTTTTGTTTCTTGACTGGAGAGGGAATTTGGATCTTGGTTGCAGCACTGGCAGAAACATTACTCACTTCTTCAATGTCACTGTTTTCATCACCACTTTCTATGTCTGCTTCAACATACCTTACAGTTCTCTTGGCGGACCTGCATGTGCAGTAATTTATTTTAATAATATTGAAATCAGTAATGGTATGTTGTGTAACAAACTGCATGTTCTATGACAAGTCTCGTTCCTTTTTTATGCTCTCAAACAGTGGAGCTTTGATATAATGAAGGGCCAAGGGACTGGCAAATAGTACTCACCATAATGACGTTTTGTTATATCGAGATTCTTTCCTATATATTTTACTATTATTGGGGTAAAGAAAATCATTCATTATACTGAGGACTTTGTGATATAGAGGTTCGTTATATTGAGGTTCCACTGTACCAGCGCAGAAATGCTTGCTATGCAGACTACAGTTAAAGTGCAACTAACCCCCCAATTTTTTTTTCGCTGAACGCAATCTTCTTTCTTATCATCCTGCTTACTTGTAGGAAAAAATTTTGGTCATAGCGTTTTTCCTTATTTTTTTTATAATTTTTCAAAGTTTCAAATTTTGGCGGTTCTTGCGGCCACTACCGAGCTCTGTGGAGAATGGGTCCGAGTGTTATTGTGACGTCATCGAAGGAGCTCAACCTTCGCGAGCAACACAGACTTCTCTTGAAATCTTCTTCTGGAATCATGCCCGACGCCTGTGCTGTTTTCGGTTGTAGCAGAACAGCCGATCCCCAAAGAGGTATCGGGCTTCATAGAATTCCTGTCTTTTATGACTCACGCGAGGAAAGCATTAAAAGAGGACGGAAATGGGTGAACTTTGTCCAGCAGAGGAGAGCTAAATAGGAGCCAACCATTTTTACAGCGTGCGCGCTTAAAAACAATGGAACTTTTGATCTAGTGATCAACGATCAGGAGCCCATCATTTTCAAGGCGAGTTTTCGCGGACTTAGTTTTAAAGGGAACAAGGTCGTCGGCTAAATCAAAGCAGAAGATGGACCAGTCTTTACGATAAGGTAGGATATTTAAATCTGTACGTAGTATTAAAGCTAAGATTTCCGGGCAGCCATATTCAGATGATAGCATATTCTTAGGGAGCGGTCATTAACTATTGGGGGGGGGAGGGTCGGTATTATTTCAAAGGTTAGAGCCCAAAAATGTTAGCCCCTCTCAGGTTAACAGCCCAAAAATCTTGGCCCCCTTTAAAATGTGAGCCCAAAAAATTGTAACCCTCCCCTGTGAAAAACTTTTGATTTTTTTACGAACGTTATTTTGAGACAATTATTTCACTGGAATAAGAAAAAAGTGTTACTATTTTAATACACTATTTACAAAACCCAATGGTTCACCAAGTAAAGGGAACCCGTACATTAAACAGCCCGTTGTTACTCATTGAATTCCTGTTTTGTAGTCAATTTCAAGAGTGAACAAATTGTGCGTATTTAATAACGGATCAGCGAGCTGTCTCTATTCAAGAGAAGTCCGCAGCTCTTGCTCGACCCCTCCAGGTCCTGCAAGTTCGGCCATATCGTGTGGTGTGCAAAAGATTTTCAAAGTTATTTTCCTGCTGGACCGATTCGTCTTCCTCCTGGTCCTCATCAGAATCCTCACTGATGTCATCATCGCTATCATCCTCTCCGATTTCGTCCAAGACACCATCATCATTGCCATCATCAATGTCATCATCAACATCATCGTCACAATCGCTGTCATCGAGATTTTTCGCTACCTTCAATTATCTTCTTAGCAATGTCTATGGTTATGAGGTCTATTTTTCTTGCTTCAGTGCTCCTTTGGAATGCTTTAGCTTCCTTTCCATGACATACAGGTCTAAGATCTTAACTTTCAGTTTCTTTAGCGTTCCTTCTCGATACATTGCTTCCCAGTTGTAATCTGCAAAAGATTTTCGGTTCTCTTCCAGGTTCGCTTTCTTTCTGCTTTCTGTCCTCTTGTTTCTTTTCCTCTCTAGTTCCAGAAGATGGTCCAGATATTGCTTGACTAGCCTTTTCTCAACAACATATTTCCTGCTGAAGTTCTCTATGGCATCATCGTCATTCATTTTACCTGCATCATGCATCAAAGGCAAAAAGTGTAACAATAAATACATGTTTTATAAGGTGAAATAATCAACATGACACGAGCAGGGGACAAAGAAAAACTGAATACCTGGTGGTATCACGATATTAAAAATGTGGATTGTACAAAAAGACGTTAATTCCTATTCTCGCTTAGCAGAAACTTACCCTCAGCAAACAACTTTCTGAGCACTACTCTTGGCTGATAATCATCCACCTCTCTACCTTCGCTTGGCGTTTCCTCTAGAGAACAATAGTGTAGTCCTTCACGGTTGTAATCAGGAAAGGGCCTCCTGACACGAGCCACCTCTGATGTTACTGGCCTCGAGCCTTTACAAAACTCACACAACTGACCTACAAATAACCGAGGAAATAATACAGCTAATCTTCTATGATGCATTGATAAATGTACTGTGTGATCTATTGTTCCCAGAAATCATGGATATATTTCTTAAAAATACTCTTTAAAAATGTAACTGTTATGTTCAATCTAAGCTTTGCCAATTACCTATTGTTTTTTTGCAACTTCCTCTGGTGTATTCCATGTAGAGATCACCCACTTCATAGTGGTGACTGATGAAGCGTTCCAATGAGAAGGCGGTAAAAAAAATTAGAGAGCAATTAGCGCAACTGAAATCTGTAAAGGATCCTTCTAAGGCTGGATTTCTTCTAAGAGAAAACCACATTCTCAAGCCGCATGATTCAACGACCATAACGCAGAACATGTTACACATAAAGAGGGTCGAAACTTCAATCGAAACTTTACAAAAAAACCTAAAGGAACACTTAGAAAGAACAATCCATTCATCAGGTAGAGTTTTAACAGGACATAAAACTGCACATGACTTTGATGAGCAAAAGCTAACCGAATTGCAGGGTTTTAGAAATGAATTACACACTTTAATAACTAGTCTAAGTCAGCTCCAACAAACCTGCAAAGCAGCATTTAAGCACCCCTTTTCTGCAATGAAAAGAAAATCAAGAAAAAGGAAACAAAATACCCAAAAGAGTGTGAAGCGGAAAAAAGGCGAGGCATGTGGCCAGGACGACTGAGGTCCTCAAGAAGATTGCGCCTGATTGGTCGGAGGGTAAGATTTGTGAGAAGGAGGATTTGTGCGGAGACATCGTAAAAGAACTTGGAAAAGAGAGCAGAAATGGGCGGTAGCTTTGATGTTTGATCAGTGCGAACTTTTTTTTTTTTTGACAGCGCGCGAAATCAGAGCTTAGAACAATGTTAGGGTTTTCTGAAAGTGAGAGTAGCTCTAATGCAAGTGACGGCGATGAAAGTAGCGACCAAGACAACCTAAGTAGCATCAATGACAGCAAAGACAGTGAAAGAAATAGCGATGACGGGGCCGATGATAGTGATGTAACTGAACAATGTCAGGAGGAGGATTCGGGAAGTGTCTTTACTGCAGTGGAAGCATCGACAGCAGCAGTGCAGAAGACATTGGCCCCTACTGGAACACAATGGAATGCACTCCTTACTATGAGCCCATTGAGTAGTCGTTTATACATCTTCACTGGACATTGGCAATATGTTTGATACCGTTACTGTTTAAGACTGATTGAGTTTTATAGCATACCAGAATTTGTTGATTTTTTAAAATAACAATAAATCAAGTGATGTTTATAAAATTGTTCTGGGTGTGAGCTTTTTCACTGTGCAATTAAGCTTTGAGTATACGATTCTATGAAGATTCTCTTGCCATGCTAAAGTCAATAGCACAAAACCCATTTGTGCACATCGCCCAAAGTTTTAATAAAAGGCGCCCAGAAATTGTAACCCTCCCCTATAAAACGTGGGCCCATAAAATTATGGCCCACCCCAAATGGGCGCCCAAAAAAACACAGCCCTCCCCCAAAATTTACCAGCCCTCCCCCCCCAATAGTTAATGACCGCTCCCTTATGTTGGAATGTATTGCTGGTAAGAATAATCTCCCGCTCCGCTGATTTTGCTAAACAAAGAACTTAATAGGTTTCTTTTGTTTCCTATTTTAACAAAAAAAGGTCGACGCATTTTTTGCATACATTTTTTCTTGCAAAATAAGCTAAAACTGGCAAAAAAATGCAGGGCAAGGTTTTTCTGTTGAATTAGAGGCCACATAGAAAATTTTTTAGCTGATTTGGAAGAAAAAACATCCAGAACGTTTGTTCACAAAGTGTTATTCCAATCCCTTCATTATTGAATGATATTACGTTTTTGTAGTTTAGTCTGTATAACCTCTTTATTGAAAATATTGCCTGTTTTTGTTTTCAGGCATATTCTTGCAGCAGTTCATTTCAATTTCAACCTGCACCGGGACTACACTGGTATCACAGAGATCAGGGTTGGAATCCCTGTAAGCCTGAATTTTTTCAGGCTTTCTTTTCACAACTGCATAATTTGTGTATTTGACTGTAGTAATCTTTTCTGTTTATAATATATTATGTAGATTATTTTCTATAAAAATTGGAGAAAGAAATGAATTTTGTGGAAAAAGGAGTAAAGATTTTCATCCTCACAACCCTTTCTATCACCTTTAGAGGAGGTGCTGAATTGTACTGTATTCAATTTACTTTTTTTCCTAGTTCCTGATGAACCAGTTGCAAGCACGAGTTCAAATACAAGAAAAAGGGAAAAAAAACCCAGAAAACTCCCAGAGATGGCCCCAAGAAAGCTCGCTATTGCTCTGCATGCAAAAATCCCATGAAAGGACACAAGAATATTGAAGACTGTCCAAAGAATAAGAAATAAGGCTAGAAGTTTAAAAGCCATAGTGAATATTGTCTCTGTTGAGCTTCTGTAGGGAACTATTCTGATACAAGTTTTGAGTTATACTACGTATATACATGTGTGTATTGTGATTGAATTGTGGTCTATGTATATACAGACAAAACTGGTCAGCTATATCTATCCTTTTGCAATAGAAATCAGAATTCTCGTACAAATTATGCTTAGCCTTGAAGGTTGGTTGGCAATAATAACTCTTTAAGGAAGCTTACCAGCAATATTAAAGAAAAGTCAAAGGATTTTGGTGGGAAATAAATTGAAACCAACCAGTCAGTGGGCTGTGTGTATACTGTAAATCCTCTAGTAAGCCCCCCCTTTTCAGAGGAGGAAAGTTAATAAGCCCCCCGCTCCCCCAATCCTTATTCTTCACAAAACAATTAACGTGGACTGATCAGTTATGGTTTATTCAGGCTGGAAGTTCATATTGTTTTTGGTCTTCGGCCACATGACCTCCAACTTCATATACTTAACTTTCTCAACTTTGCGCTCTAGTTCTCTGTGGACAATTGTCACCATTTTCTTATAGTATTATAGTATCATAAATTTCAAGGCTGTTTATATGAAACATTTAAATGTAAGAGATAAAAAATGTAAATATAAGAGGAGTTTTCCAGAGATTTTCGTTTGTAAGTTGTGTACAACAAATCAATACAAGTAACAATTCTCATAAAAATTACCAAAGAACATGAGGCCGAAAGCACATTTTTGAAGAATTAAATACTTTTGACAGTGACTGCAATTGTACAACGCATTAGTCTACTCTGTCTCATACCACGGTATTTTTGCTCAGGTGATGCGTTTTGCTAAATTAAAAAAGCTCCCCCTCTCTATTAAGCCCCCCCTCAAAAGTGCTTGAAAAAAATAAGCCCCCCGGGGGGGCTTAATAGAGGATTTAGGGTAGTTGTGTCTAGAACTAGGGGATTTGGGGACCTGACCTTCTCTTATCAGTGACACATCTCCTGATCTCTCTTTCTCTCGTAACAAGGGGCTATAGGAGATTGCCCTTTTTCATAATGGAGAGGAAAAAAGTTTTGTGCTAGCAGTGGCCTCTTTTGGCAGGCAAAAATAAATTTTCATTGCATAATGAGTTTTTTATTATTTACAACGAACACCCCTGGGGTGGTACTCAACAAATTTTTATGTGGGGAGGTTCCACCCCAAGGTCCAACCCCTTACCCTTTTATATACCATTTTCACGAAAAAGGTGCCCCTTTTGTATATCTTCAATTCTATTGACATTTGGTACCCCTTTCACATACCTTGTTTAGAACTTTGCATCTCTTTTGACCGCTTTAAATGAACTGTCTTTTAAATTGGAATCAATCACACAAATAGAACGTTTTCTTGACTTTATAAAGCCATAAAATTCATTTGTGAGCCCTACTAGCCATTTCACAGACCCAAATGACAGATTTCCCTTTGATATACTTCAACGTGTAAAATCCCTACCCTTTCATATACTGAAGCCAGAAAAAGATACCCCTTTTAGGCAGAGCCTTCCTTTATAGGCCATTATGCTGAGTACACCCCGGGCGAACACCCCACCTGTTGATTTATCACTAGTCCTTGTTTATTACATGCTTATTGAAATGTATAAAATTGTACATCAAAGGAAAAGGTAAAAGCTACAGTTCAAAATGAATCTACTGTTTACGTCAACAAAAGATGAAGTAAAACAGACAATTAAACAGATGATCAACAATTTAATAACAGAATAATTTACAAGGGAAAAAGCCTAAAAAGTTTACTTAATCATCTGAATTCGTCGAGTTCGAATCCAGTGTAGGTTTCATCTCTGCCAACAGGAAATTGTTTTCTTATTTCCGTGTAAGCACACGCAGGACAAGGAATTCGCTTGTAGAAAAGCCTGGAAAACTCCCTGTAGGCAATGCTACGCAAGTAACTGTAAAAAAAAAAGACAATAAGAAAAGTATTGAATTTCGGAGAATTTGTATGTTTTCAAATCGAGTGTGTACCATATCGATCGTATTTGACTCCAATGCGGTACAAAAATAACAAAAACTATCTCACCTTTCTTCGGTTCCAGTTTGTTTATATCTCTGTTTGGCTTTGGTATTGACACGTTCGCCAGCCATACGTAAGCTCCACTATTGAAGGCAGACAGGACCAAAACCAGGATGTTGTGTGATACACCTTAAGGCCGTTTCGAGTTGAATATCTTCAAGAACACTTTTGCTACACATGGCTTCTTTGCAACCAACTACAGCTCCCGGCAGCAGTAGCACTCGCTCAAATTCTGAAGGATAACACGGCTGCAGTTTCCACAGGAACACCTATAACAATCAAGGTAGCTAGAATCATACAAAAATAACACTTTTTGTAGCGACAGCTAACAACTCTCATCATACATTACAGCAATCACGCCGCCAAACAAGCAAGTACTCGATTATTTACATAAGCTTTTACTTCGATCTTCACACGATCATACTACAAATTTGCCGACACTCACCAAGAATCCACTTGAACTGATTCTTCAAGTCTTCCCCGTAGTTCTTGCTCTAGCTTATTTGTTTCATCAACTTCTTCTTCGTACTTTTTTAGCTATTCTTCATCAGCCAAGGGTTGATCGGCATGAAACTTGCGACTCGCGATCACTTCGTTCATCTTCCACTTCGGCCAAATTTGGCTGAGAATCTTCTGAATTAAAACTTCCCTCAGAACTTGAATCACTTAAAGACATATTCCGTTGAATTTTGGTCGTTTTAGTATCCCGCTCGCTTAAAATCAGTTAAAATGATTTTCCCTTTCGCACTTCTCGGTCATTTACTCATGAGTTCGCGGCAGATGTCCTCCTTCGATGACGTCACAACAACATTCGTACCCAGCTCCCACGAACCTCGGTAATGGGACACAAGGGACCTAACTTTGAACAGCCATGGAAACGCGAGGATTTTGTCAATCACGATAATTTTTTCGCAAAAGTAATCAGAAAAATAAGGAGATTTCATTTAGCGAAAAACATTTTTGGGGGTTAGTTGCACTTTAAATTATTCTTAGGTTACTAGCTCTCTTATAAATGTAAATACTATAATATAAAGTGTGAATTGAAAAACTGAACTGAAGTGTGAATCCTATTACCTATATTAAGTCCTCAAGGGGACTTATTTATTTCAAGCCCATCTGAAGGGAGGCTTATTTAATTTAGAAAAGACAATGGTATCCGTTTTCCATAAATAACTAGAATACAAAGTGGAAAAGCTCAAGTACAAGAAGTTTGGAGGTCATGCATGCAAGGATCAGAATCCAAACTTCCAGTTGGCAATAAGCCATCCTGGATCAGTTCACACAAAGTTTTACAGTCGTCATTGATTAATACAGTCTATCATTAATTTTATTAGTGGAGAATAATCAGGGAAGGGGAGGGGGGGAGGGTTAACAGAGAGGGTGGCCTACTAACTGTCTTCCCCTGAAAAGGCTTATTAGAGAGAGAGGGGTTATTTTAGAGGGGGGGAATAAAATAGAAGATTTATGGTAAGCGAAAAAGGAATAACCAACCTGGAAGATCTCCTGGTTGGTAAAGCTGCAGCTTCCTTCTTGACAGCATCTATACCAGGACTGAAATCAGGATCTTCTTTTCCAGTCATGTTAAATGAAACATCACCAGGACATTCATCATCATCTTCATCACCTACATCACTATCACCCTCCTCATCTTCATCATCCAAAATAACTTCATCTATTTCATCGTCATCTTGCACAAAATTATCATCCTTTCTTTTGTGGTTTCTTGTCTTTCTCTGGCTTCTACATTTAGGTCGCTTAGTTTTACGCTAAAAAGAGGGAATAAGTGATCATTAGGAACTCGTTATTAGTACCTGATCATTACAAAGATTACATCATTTCTGTCTCTGTAAATGGAAAAGGAACATATTTCCCATGTTGTTATGTACAGTAACCAAGGGTACAATAATTAATGCTTTCCCAAATGTGATATGACTGCTCAAGACAGTAGCTTAACCAATTCTTTTTTATTTATTTATTTATTTATTTATTGACAAAAAAAATTAATTACAAATACTTATTCTTTTAACCATGGAAAATAATATATATATATAGAAAAAAAAACAACTAAATTTGTAAAGGAAAAAGATGCAAACCTAATAAGTGAAACAGTACAGCAGTAAAGTGTAGCTTGAAGGAATAAGTATTAGGGAAATGACACTAGCACTCACATATAGAATGATGGATGAGAGAATGACCTGGCAAAAAATGGACAAAAAAATTACATACCTACATGTAGATAAGATACTAACCTTCAAAGACTTGGCTGTACCAGCTTTCTTATCTGCCAAAGTAACTAGTGGCTTCCCATTGTAAAAATTTGTGATAATGAGAGAAATAACTTCCAGAGTCTTTCCAAGACCCATGTCATCAGCAAGAATTCCACCCAGCAAGCAGCTTGGTCGATTGCTTGTTGCAAAGTTTGTGGCTGTGTTAAAGTACTGAATCTCTTTACCAGCCTTTCTTTCCTTCCAGAAGGGTGGAAGTTCTTTACAGTTTTCACGAGCAACCATCCAAGCAAGAGCTCTTTTCTGATGTGGAAACAGCTTGGTTTTTATAGCCTAAACAGAAAAGAAGATTATCATTGACAAAGTTTCATTAACACACAACAGTAAAAGTTTCCATAAGTAGACACCCAAGAGGAACGAAGGAGTATCTGTATCTGGAGTGGGCAGCCTGCTAATGAATTACCAAAAAATTCCGAAAATAAGCCCCTCCATGTATAAGCCCCTCCAAATATAAGCCCCCCAAACTGGTAATGCAAAAAACCCTCTGTTAAATCGCCCCTCCCGGGGCTTGTACTTGGAAAATAGCCCTCAAATACAAAGTAAAACAAAGCAAAAACGGTAAATTTACTTCCAACTACAAGGCTAGCCCAATCGAGTTTGAAACGCAAATTTCCCTCTGTACATAAGCCCCTCCAAATATAAGCCCCTCAAAAAGGGCCTTTGAAAAATATAAGCCCCGGGGCTTATTTTCGGAATTTTACGGTATCAAATGTTGCTGGTGTAGGATCTCTACCCAGAAAATCCCTCGTGGGGATAATCCTTATACTATACACTGACAACTTTGCAAGCATCTCATTAGCATTATCAGAGATAGGAAGCCATCCACAGGAACTTCAAATCCATTCTTACAACAGTTTTACTAAAAAATGTTGTAATACAAGGGAAAAATTACGGATGGACCACTATTAATGTTAATATTTTCCACTGCCATCTAGCTTCACCACCATTCTTTCAGCTTTCCCATCAATTCAATGGTAACTTTATGACAATAAATAAAAAGACAATAAATTAATTACCTCTGCTGGGTCAATAGTAGCCACTTTACTATTCTCTCCTATCTTCTGAAACAGTTTGTCCAATTCTCTTGTCATCTAATACAACAAATAAGTTTTATAATTGAACTAATCATAAACCACCCTAACCTTCGTGTTGCAAAATGGTGTTCAGAAACACAGGACCACAACAAATCTAAGCCCCCAAAAAGGTGAATTCCGGACTTCAACCTTATCCTTCCAAGTTTGGAACAAATCCCAATTACACAATTCTTCATTTCAGACATAACCATTCAAGTCTGATGTTCATCTGATCTCCCAGTCAAACATCGTTTTAATGCCAGATGTTAGCAGTTATGTTTGACATCAGTTTTTTAAAGCAAATGGGCTACACAACACCACTAAAGTATATTTTATACATTGACTCCACTGGAAACCTACCTGATCATGAGAAATTTTAATAGAAGGCGGTCTGCCAATGTTCGTCATTGTAGCAGAGGTACCACTTGACATTCCATTCTTTGGTGGAATTGGTTCCCTGAAAGTTCGTAACATGTAGCCATGCCGACGCATCCTTTGGAGAACTTCTTGTTCATTTTCTGGTCTGCCCCAAAATGTAATATCACAAGGCATGGTATAGATGTTGTTTTTTCCAAAGGGAACAACCCTAAAAATACAAATGGTGTATTTTCACAAAATCATTTATATGTTGTAAAACTATAGTCAACTCCTGTTATTGCAGGAAATTTGGGGGCTACAAGTCCTTAAAGGGAATAAAGGCAAGAGTCTGCAAACCCTATAACAGCATGGTGCAGGAACAAATTTCTTTGAAAATGTTTCTTTACAAAGAGAACTTGCCTTTATATTGCCTGCATGAGCAACAATCTTTATTTGTACTGCAATCTTTATTTGTACTGCTCACTCTTGCTCAACAATAATGAAGACAATGAAAATATTAAAAGTAAAATAATTATTATCAGAGTACTGCCTGCCTGGAGTAACTATAGGGGATAGCAGTGGTTTCAAGCCTCGCCTGTCGTGTTGTTTCCTTAGACAAGGAATTTTACTCCACTTTGTCTTGTTTCACCCAGGTGCACAAATTTTTAGATTTGGTGCATGTATCAAAATGTTTAGTTAAACTCATCACCAAAAGATGAGCTTGGGCGTTGGTGCGTACAAAGTTGGTGGAGCTGGGCGATGCTCTAGCATGAGGAGGAGGTATCCATGGCAACCCTGCGAGCGGCCCCCACCAGGCACCGTCACTCTGAAAAATTCAGTGGAATACTTACCGACCAATACTTACCTGGCCCATAACTCCAGAGGGAGGGAGGGATGGGAAAAAACCAAAGCACAAAAAGGCACGCAAACAGCAAGCTATTGCAACAACACTTTACGAAGAACTGCAAGCAAGCAACTGCGAATATATGTCACAAGGTGCCCCTGCTAGAGGCATCGGCCACCCCTAGTATAGTTGGGGAAACTGCTGACCAGCATTGCTTCGAGGTTAACTTTGCCTAAATTACATTTAGCCACATTTAGTCTATCATATCCTTTTATTTCAGTCATGAATTCCACTAGACCCAGGGGCACTATACTGTCTCCTCCAAGGGTACGCTGTTGAATATGATTAGGGCCAACACCGTCACCTTTGAGAACAGTTTTCCCTGTAGAGCCCCAAGAATCGGGAAAACTTTACTGTTCAGTGGTGCACTTAAAAAAAGATCTTTTCAATCACTACTTGTATCTCACTAAGTCTGTTTATGATGTTGACATCCCCCAGACCTTTAAGAGTGTTTGTGTAACAAGTGCCACAATAGTTGGCCATTGAACAGCTTGCTCGATCGTATGCGTTCGTGATTTTTTAATTGATGTCCTCCACAATTCTGTTTTTACATTTCAGTTTCTTTTTTTGTTGCTTCTAAAGTATTGTCATTCTTGTTAGTTGTATTACTAATTTTCTCTTTTTTTTTTTCTGGACCTCGTAGTGGAAATTGCTCTGTGAGTGATCCAGGCCTCTTGGCAAAGATTATATTTAAATGAATAAATAGGTATAACTGGGTACCGGCAATATACTACTGGGGTAACCAGGACTGTGCTCTAGCAGAAACCGGTGGCCCCTGGGGCCCAACTTTTGCTTTTAGGTGACTAGAAAATCTTAGTTTTTTCATACAAATCATATGCTGACAACCTAGATTTTACAGGTTCAGACCACTGGGCTCCCTTTATTTTCCCTTAGAGCACAGCCTTGGGTAACCCTGCGATGGACTAGCATCCCAGCCGGGGGAAAGGAGCAATACTCCTAAGCATGCTTCATACTAAGGAAACCGGGATAAGCTCAGGCTGTTTGGGCCTTTGGCTCTTATGCGCCTTTATCTTTTTTAGCGGAGCCAGGCAGCCAGTTGACTTCAGCATTAAATAGACCTAAATTACAGGTCAGCAAATACTAAAGCACAAATGTAGGCAGCTTCAATAAGCTAAATTCACTGTAAATTAATGGAGCTGAAAAATTACTGCCATCTTTCCTAGTGACCACTGACCATTTCAGATGCCTTTGATGCCTTTTTTTCCCTATTGTTGCTTTTGTTTCACATACTGAGAAAAGAGTTGGCGGAGAAAAGCGACAATGGAAATATCCCTGCTTTCGCAGCTACAATATCCAGTGGATAGCACTGTCCAAAGCTTGAACAACATGGGCTCTATCTACCCAGGCGCGGATCCACACCAGTTTCCACCGTTTTACGAAAATCGGTCAGCGTTTTCATAGATAAATAAATTTTCATGAAAAAAAAACTTTCCAAGTTAAAATCCAGCCAATATCCTGACTGAATGACTCAGAAACCCAGGAGAAGCGACTTTAGGGAGTAAAAAAAAAAAATCACGGGGTGCATGCCTCGGACCCCCCTAGAAGCTTACGCCTTCGACGCTCGTTTTGGAAAACGGTCAGTATTTATTCTAAATCCGCGCCTGCTACCAGACAAGTACTCGGGAAACCAACGCCAATGGTGTTTTCCACTGGACAGAGACTTTTCCAGAGGATATTAGCCATCCTTCAAACAACTGGGCCGAAATTTGTTCCAAAAAGTTCTTATTTTAGTGCAAAAAGCGCTAAATTTAGCACGTTTCAAAAAAGACTTACAAAAAAAAAATAAAAAATTTCTCAAAGAATAGCTGAAATCCCAAAGGCTTAGTATTGTTCTGTCTTTTGTTTTCATTAAACAATGAATGCATGTATAATTAATGTATGGGGTTATACGGAAATCTTGCCATTGTAGCTACTGGCATTCTGGGGAATTTGTTCAAGTGCCAATACAAAACCAAACTTCTTTAAATACCCCTGGGAACTGGCCAGAGAAATTCTCACATTACATCATATCAGTTCTGTACGCCTTGCATCTAGTTTTGCAATGCAATTCTTTATTTCTCTCTTCCTACTCGCTCGTATTTCAAAATGCGCAGATACGTAAATCAATATTAATGCATAAAGGCGTAAATTCCACAAGCGGTTAAACAACAGTTAACATAAAATAACATGTTAAAAAATGTGACAAATTTTGAAGAAACCAGCGACACACTGTCGACGCTATTACATATAAGTAAAGGTAACTTTGCCAAAACCTACCCTTCTAATCGCACCAGTCTGTTATCCATTACATCCGCTAGTGCTCGAGCAAGCTCCCTCTTTATGTGCCCCACTTGAATTCCATAAACATTATCCACCCTAACAGCATTTCTATCGTACGGATTGTGAGGTTCACGTGTGAGCGACACCATTTCGTTGTTGTTCACAGTCCCGCGATAGTAGCGTATGCCCACAATATCACCTCTATAACCCCCAAAACAGACTTCATGGTCCAACTCATCATCCGAATCCGGAATATCTAGAAAATTAGACATTTGCGACCAGGATTAAAAGGTATATAGAAGCTAAGCTAAGGCGAAAGTAAGCTTATGCTCAACGTGGAGGGAGAGAGATCGAGGTGAAGTCGCGAATTTTCGCGCCCGCGTTTCAAACGCGTATCAAATAACCTTCTGGAAGCGCGAAGACTGGTGAGGGGGTGGGGAGGGAGGCAAGGGACTTGCAAGGGACAGGCAAGGGGCGATTGGGACAACCAAGCGGCAATCGTCTCGCAATCCTCCCAGCGTTTGTGGGGAAGGAACGCGTGACGAAGTTCTGGGAGGCTAGGGTAACCTCGACTTGCCCACAATTTGTCTCGAGAGCGAAGCGCGAGTGGGAGATTTTTTATGTTTTCTGAAGCGGCAAAAGCGTGCGAGGCGAGAGAGTGGGGTCGCTGGGACCTACCACCGGAACCGGAAATGAGAAGCGAATGACTTCCAGAAAGTTCAAGGGGTACTGAGAAGTCCTCTTTGCAGCGACGACGATTGAAGACGACGGCAACAGCGACGACATGCTAGCTTAAAATGTAACCTTATTTGTGTTTTTGTTGAAGGGCAAGGAATATATTTAAACATAGAAATCCTCAACATTAGTCACTGTGTCAGGAGCCCATCCTGCTTGTGTCTATTGCACCACATCAAAAGTCACAAATGTACCGACTGAAAGACACGACCGCCTTCGTTACTTGAAACAAAAATACCCGAGACACACACATGCGATAAGAGGAGGGGACACAACCCGGGGGGGGCGCACTTGGGTATTTTTTGGGTGGGTGCTGGGTATGTGCCGCCCGGGACTCCAAATTGGCACCCCGTTCTAAAAAAAATTTCCCCTAAAATTGATACCCCGTTCTAGAAATGGGCCAATTTTTTATACTCCGTTCTAGCTAAAAGTTTGTAAATTGAAATAGCCCTGTTTTTTGAAAAATATATTTCTTTATTTGTTCGACTTATACATCAAATAAATGCTTCTTCATAATCATCCGGAGTACGTTTACTGTGCATGTGGATACAATGCGGTTAATTATGACGCAAAATCTCTCACCACACGCAGAACCACGCCCGTAAGCTAAAGATTTTCCTTCTCCTCCTCTGTCCCTTTCTTTTAAGTCCGTCTCCATCTCCCTCGGGTACGTATACATTATGGACTCGTTCCAGACTTCCGCGCGCCTATTTATCCAAGATGGGGTAGTCAGCCAGCGCTCGCGGCTCGCGCCAAAATACACCCGCCCTGCACGCTAAAACACAGGGTGCAACAAGAGTACAACAGTTTTCTTGCTAACGCATTGAACCGTACATTTAAAAGCAATCTGTCCTTGAATAATTTCAAATGACTGCTTACAAAGCTGGAGCTTTCGTGCGTTCAAAATATTATACCCCGTTCTAGAAAACGCCTCTGAAACGGATACCCCGTTCTAAATCAGGAGCTTCAAAATCACGACTCCGTTGGGCGACACATACCAGTATAGGTAATGTATGGGAGTACCCCCCGCCCCCGGGGGGACACAATATTGGCCAGCTATATATAGATACAGTAAAACCTCACGACTAAAAGAACCTGGATTTTTCCTAGTTAGCCTATAAAACAGGTTCTTATGCACATGGTAGTTAGCACAAGTTTAGTCTGTTTAAGTTCTTCTGAAGAACAACAACAAAAAAATCATATAGCTAAGATTATTACTGGTTCAATTTTCCTCGAAACCGCCGAAGTGAGCCTTCTCGCAAACGAAAGTACAAACTGAACAAATATTGTCATTGGACAAAGGCATACAAAAACCCTCGTTTAGAAACAATTCATAGATGACAGTTTTTCTCATTATAGTGTTTTCACGCACGTGGCCAGCACCTTTGCAATTTTATTGGAACAAAAGAAAGCGTTTGCATAAGAAAAGAGTTCAGCCTTTCTTTTAGTGCACTCTGGAGAGACTCTCTGCATTAGTAAGGGTGCACTCACAAAAACTTGTTTGGGGCGGACTGATCAGAAATTGCCCCACCCCCCCCCCCAAAAAAAATGGGGGGGGTCTGAAAATTATTAACACTCTCAAGGAGGTACCTTAAGTAATGAAAGCAAAAATTGCCATTAACCAATGTAAACACAATTTAACAAAATATAATACTGTATTCATCATTTAGCAGTACTATAGTTTCTTACATAAATAGTAACCCGTTTTTCTTCTCTTTTGATTCTGTTGTAACACCTAGTACCGTATTGTCAATATAAAATATGTAGAACATACATAAGCTGTAACTTTTTTGCCATCCGAAAACCCTTTTAAGAAAATATAAATAATATAAACTCTTGATAATTTTCTCAATCATGTCATAAAATATAGAGCATCTCCTCTATAACACCTCATGTCATTCGATTTGAGCAAATAAAACATATCGAGAGAATTCAGGATCTTTTGCGTAACAAGAGCAGCGATTGATCGAATGTATTACTGATACCAGCAAAAGTAAGGAAACGTTTTTTATTATCCACAATATACAAATTTACAGGGACATAGCCTGCAAAAACAGCCGTTTCTCCTCGCTCTTCGAAGCTGGGTCCCCTAGAGGAACGGCTGTTTTCGCAGGCTAACGGGGACAAGGAAGAAATTAGGACTGAGAGGTTGGTTGGGGGTGTCTCAAACTCAAATTTTAGGGATACTGAAAGGGGGTCCCTGAAAATGTTTAATGCAGCAAGTAGGGGCTCTCCAACTGTTTCAGATAGTAGATAATTTCTCATCAGCCCCCTCCACCTATTCCCCCCACCCAAAAAGTTTTTGTGAACGCTCCCTAAGATCTTTATTGGACATGCAATGCATACTGCTTGGATACAGTTTCGAACCCGGGCCTAATACCCGTGCGCTTGGTACAGTGGGGTCAGCAACCATCGGTTTATCAATAAACAGATGCTCGCACTCTAAAAACTAGTTTGACGAGAGAAAACTAGATTGACTAGTCCAGAAATTCGGGCTGCGGCGACTTTTTAAGCTTGACGCGATTCAGGCCGATAGGGCCTCCTTTTCTCCTCCGACCTTGATCAAAGAGACGACAAACGGAAGCTCTGCTCACAAAGTGTTCTTTTCAGTAGCGGATCCACCCGGTGCCCCCTCCCTTAATTTTAGAGCAATGTGAGGCCCGAAGGGCCGAAAAAAAAAATTGGGAGACTGGGGGCCCCCCTCTAATCTCAGGGTCTGGATGACCGCCTCCCCCCCACCCTCCCCATCTCAAGGCACTGGTTTTAGAACCACCAACACAAACACAAACAGTGTTTAATAATATTGTTTTATTGACCAGGGGGGAGCATGAAAGCATCATCTATACCTACTCTCGTGTCCATACTACATAATAAAATATTAAGAGCCACCTTACGAGGTCAATATACAAAGCTGATGATGTAAGCTGTTTAAGTCAGAAAGAACCTGGAGACACAAGCAGCAACATCTGCCAGATCTGCCAGGGCTTATAATTAAGTACAAGTTATTTTTACCTAAAACTGGTAACACCTGTCAGATCTGGCAGCTGTATTTTGTTACAAGCACTGTGTACAAATACACAAACAAAAATAATTTGTTTCCATTTTTTTTTTGCTGTAAACCAATACGTTTTTATATCTTATGACATATCCTGGAAGTTTTGCGCCGCTCTGGTCGGCACAACGTGACAAGAATCAATCCTTTTTTTTTTCTTTGCTTGATACTTTTTGCAATTTTTAGTTTGTTTTTGCAGAGAATTTTTTTACTCTGTTAGCTAACAAGGTAGCCGCTACTACATCATTTAGATAAGATCCGCCACGTTCATTGGCATTTCCTCTATTACTGTGTTGTAGAACGTTTCAATATCCTGCAAAATACGTTTATCCTCATCGGTAACAAAGTTGATAGCAACACCTTTACGGCCAAAACGACCACCACGACCAATCCTAAAAAGCAAAATTTGCGAAAAATTGAGAATTTCGGAGTTGCGTAGGGAACTGGGGCGAATTTCAAATTGAAACAAATCGATAAACTGACACCACCATATAAAAGGTCATGTTGAGATTGGTTAATTGACAGGATTTGGTGCTCTAAAGTTGAACAGGGATCAAGTTATGATTCTTGGAACACGGTTAAAGATCCATACAAACGTCTGTAATTTTGTAACAGCGTCCCCCAAAATCATATGAACTCTTTAAATCTTTTTTTCAGTTTTTCTGTTAAACATAAAACTGTAGAATTCGTCATGCATCTACCACTTGAAAGAAACTTATTCAAAAATCACTGTTTGCCCATTTTCATTTTGTAATGTTTGTCCTTCAGTATAAGAAAAATTGTATAAGGGAACTTTGGGAAATTTAGGATATGAAGACACTGCCAAGCCTCGAAGAAAATATTTTTACCCCAAAACACCAAAAGAAACTCCAAATATTGTTAAGAACAGATTCCATGCTCATTCCTAACCTGTGAATGTAGTTTTCACGATTCCCAGGCAAATCATAGTTTATTACCAAAGAAACTTGTTGTACATCAATACCACGTGCCTGTAAAAATAGAATCCACATTACATTAGATTTAGTCTTTCAAAGGGGCTATGTCATGAAGATATAGCTGTTTTAGGTTAATTTTGTGCTAAGGTCATTACTTAGAGTTATGAAGAAAATATAAAAAAGTCTAACCATAGAGCTCCAACCAAAATAATTTTGGGTGATTTTTGCATGACGAAAAGCATTAAAAAGTAGGAAAATTGGCCAAATGCTTTTAAGTTTCAATCCACGTCCATCCTTGCAATCCAGAGCACAAGACAACAGGAAACAGTTTCAGTGACTCACAATTCCGCCACCCAAAATCATACATGTAGCTTAAAGACCTCTCAGGATTTACCTTCACACATTAATAATTTTATGGCATACCAGTGAAACAATGTGGTAAGTTCACTATCCGTTCTACATGTATTGCTGCTTCATCAGAACCACGAACTTGCTGATCATCTGTGTAAATTATTCAATATGACATGCTTCAACTATTGTATAGTATTTTGTGAAGACAATCAGCAAGTTAATGATTCTGATAAAGACCCACAGCACATGAAAGCAACATTCCTCTTACAGAGCACTGCCTCGATGAAGAAAAACAAACATTCATTTACCAACAAATCAGTAGTGATGAGCACTCGACTGGAACCGGAACGGAATTCCTTCATGATCACCTCTCTCTCTTTCTGATCCATATCACCATGCTACAAAACATAGTAGAATAATGATATCCTCGTTAGAAATGCAGCAAGTAAACAATGTAAACAGTTACAACATGATGATTATGTAGATTGTAGATTTAGAGTTTGCTTTTATTTTAGGCTCATGATTGTCAAGAAATGGCTTTGCCTCCTCATTGCCTCCACTCCTTCTCCTCCTCCTCCTGCTCCTCCTCATTTTGAATGTTTTCATCTATCAAGGTTTTCATTAAGAATTCTAGTAGCAGGAGAAAGGTGTAACATTACCAGAGAATATTGTGGAAGAGGCTCCACGTCTGAATAAAAAATATTCATAGGCTATCGCACATTAGCCCGAGAATTCTGAGTAACAGCCGGAGAATTCTCCAATCTCCGATGCCTAATGAACACCCTGATCTGTAAATCGGGTCAACCTCAAAATATCCCCTTTCATGAGGTGTTTATTAATTTCTTTTCTCAGAAATAATGTATCAACGCTGCGATTTGTGTGTGCTTGAACTTGGGCTACTGCTCGGTGATGAGCCTGCAATAACAGAGACTGCACTTAAGAGAGCAAAGGAAATCAAGGCTAGCTTGAATGCTCTTTCTCTACATAAAAAAATAGGCAGCCCACAATAACTCCACCCAATGCCCAAGGGCAACTCAGTGCAAAGACATCAAAAACCTTTTAACCCTTTAAGCCCCAATATCCACATACAAATTCTCCACACTGATCTCCATACATTTCCTTCATGACTGAGTTGAGAGAATTTGATAAAAGATCAAGGCATTTCCCTTAGGTGATCATTTTATTAATTCTCATAACCTAATCTCTTGACATTGTATCGATATCGTTAGGAGAAAATTGACATTAGTCACTATTGGGACTTAAAGGGTTAAGTGTGAATGGTTCTGTACTTTATCAGTGCAATAGCACCAATAGATGAGCCAATCACAGACAATGACAACATTTTTTTCATTTGAGGGTAGCACCAATGAAATTTTGTCTGTGCTCCATGTCCCTCTATTCTGACACTGTTACATGTTGTACGGTGTGCAAAGAAAGTCATTTGGGCAAGTTGTAGCTAGCATGTACTAGCCCAAAAGTCATTTCAACTAGCACCCAAAAAATTAATGACCAGCTGGATTGAATACAGTTCTTCTGTAATTTGAATTTCCCTAAAAACTTCACTTATGAATTATTCAGTTATGAACAGAATTCACTAGCATGATAGAAAAATCCATCAGCCCCGGGTTATCGGATACTACTTTCTTTGCACGCTGGTCGTAGCTTCCTGCCCTTTACATGCATTCCAAGGTCAAATATTTTCAGAGATAGCTATCAATAACCCCATTTACACACGCTAAAAAAATCGGCACGGCACGCCAAATTTTTGGCACCGTGCTGATGACTTTAATGCACGGCACTCCCAGTTTTCGACATGTAAACGTATCGGTCCCAAACGTAATATGGCACCAGTGCTCAAAATTTTAGGGGTGCCGAGACTACCTCCCAGATGTAGTCTCGGCACGGTGCCAAAAATTTGGCGTGCTGTGCCGATTTTTTTAGCGCGTGTAAATGGGGTCAATATCTAGTGTTGCTGCTTTTAAAGCTTGTTCATAGAAAACAAAAAAACAGCACACAAAGATCAATATGTACTTTATGACCTTATAAAATATGACATACCATAGAAGAAACTGTGAAGTCCTTTTCCATCATTTTCCCCTGGAGCCAGTCCACTTTCCTTCTTGTGTTCAGGAAAATCACAGCTTGAGTAATTGTAAGAGTCTCATACAAATCACACAAGGTCTCAAGCTTCCAGTCCTAAAAAAAGGGATCTAACTTTATAAAATGATTCTTTATTGTCCTTTTAGTTACTAATACATGTCATTTACTGACATCTTGGTTGTTTACCATTTACATGGGCAGACTCCTTAGTTAAACAGTTCAGGCAAATGGAACGAAAAGTTCAGGACTTGTAAATTTCCTTGTACTCAATTCCTTGTACTGAAAAACGGCCATGAAAGCCTGAAACTAGATGGGTTTTAACAAAATAATAGAACACAAATTGTCTGTTTGAAACATTCCATCTGGAATACCTTTTGGACAGGAATACCAAATGTTCTGTTGTTCTGTTGCTTCTGGAACTTTTGCACTGGAATGACACAAAAAGCTATGTCCCATTTAATTCTTCAACAGGATTTTTCAGGAAACGTTTTGTAAATGGTTAACAACCTGTCCTTGCAGCCCTTCCTACCCCTCCCCAACACACCCACACACACACACACACACCACACCCACTCTAGCAGTTGCCCATTACACCCACTTCTCTCTTCCCAGTTCCTCCTGTCTCATCATCCCTTACTGCCATGGACACTCCCCTTAATAGTAAGCAAGTTACCAGGTAATAAGTACATACATACATACACACTTTATTAACGTGACTAACACTTAGCTATAAAGCTAGTTTACGGGTCAGTAAACTATAAAGCTAGTTTAAAGGTCAGTCAGCTACAAAGCTAGTTTACAGGTCACTCAACTTGATTCAATGACCAACTTGGAGCTCTTAAGCACTCAATGTAAAAGTCTACAATGCACATTCAGGAAGATAGACTATGAGTAGTCCCCATTTATCCTCAGGGACAGTAGAGTGAGCAAAACACAAGTGCGCGTAAAAATCACCCTACGCGAGAAAGACGAGATGTGGTAAGGAAAGAGAAAATGAGGGACTACAGACAAAGCCCAAGGTTTTAACACTTCACAGCCGACTGATTTTGGAGTGTGAAGTTCATATACCCTTCTAAATCAATTAAGCACTTTCCGAATGTGAGTATACCTTTGGTATCACGACCACTGTGCTGAAACTTTCTCCAAACAATGATAACAGAGGACGCCATCTTGAATTTTATTCCCACACTGGTATCAGGAACTGGTTTCAGTGCTTCCCAGTTTACCCTGGTCTCAATTTAAGTTCCGAATCCGGTTCCGGTTCCGGTTCCGGTTCCGGTTCCGGTTCTGGTTCCGGATCCAGATTCCAGCTTTTCCATACCCCCAGTATAAAATATTAAATTATATTGAAACACAACTTTTGTTTAAACGATTTGCTTACCAAGTCCAATAAGACTACATTATAAAGTAGAGAAACGACAGATTTCCATGGAAGAGCCAATCAGAGTTTTACGTTGTGCGAGCTTGGGCTTTGTCTGCAGTCCCTCATTTTTCTCTTTCCCCACCGCATCTCGCCTTTCTGGGGAAGGGGGGGGGGGGCATTTTCACGCCCTCTGCTATCCCTGAGGAAAACTAAGGGACTACTAGTACTCTATCAGGGAGATGGTAAGAACAATCCAGAACATGATCTTAGTTGTTATTATGGTTACACAATGTAAACTGCTCTAACACTTCTTAAGAATTGTAATTTTTGTTTTTTGAAGAATTTGGAGACTTTTTGGAGAAATTCCAGTACGAACTTAACCCATTCGCTCCTGGGAATCTAGCTGAAAAATGAGTTTTGAAGCTAGTCAAGTCATTTTCTGGTCACAGTCTGGCTAAAAAGAGCTAGAACTTACCACAAAGCTGTTTACAGGTTGTACATTGCGTGGCTTATTTATCTTGATGCAAAATCTTAGCTTATGAAGTTCGGGCATGTGCAGAAAGCAAAATTTTGAGGATACTTTTTTCGCTTTCTCTTTCTTGCCTCATATTATGTTTTCTTTCGCTGGACATTTAGCAGGCTTTATTTTAGTGTGAAAAGTTTTTGGAAAGCTTGGAGGATCTTTAAGGGTTAGATGAAAGGAAAGGGTGTGGGTAGTGAAACAAGATTTTCATGCAACTTTTCAGGACAACGTTACATTTTTTTGTTTTTGTCTTTTTTTTTGCCTTTTTCTCCAGATGCCTTGACTCAATCGTGCTCATTATCAGCAGCCCAGTCATAATTTCGGTTTTCAGTCATCTGTGCAGAAAAACAAACACCCAGGGAGGGAAGACACAGGTCTGTGACCAACAGACAATGTTCTCATGACTTGTTTCATACGATTTTCCCTTGCAAAAATATGTTTTGTACCTCATCCACTGACCCCTTTTTATGGAGATGTAAACTTAAGCCACCGCAAAATAGTAACTTAAAAAAGGCTATAATATTATTGATTCATCTCGAAACATAATACGCGACTTACACGACCTGTGTTTTCCTACAAGCATTTTGAATATGAACAAACACTGTAAATGTGAGGGGCAAAAACAGAATAATATGAATGAACCAAAGGGTTCTAATTAATATAAGGGCCAATTATTGTGCATTGAGATGAATAACTTGAACCAAAAACAATTTCAGAAGTCATGTACATGTGATCAGAAGTAAACAAGTTCACAAGCATATATAGTGCATTTACAGTGCATTTTGTTTAGTCTTTTCAATACCCAGGGAGTGTGCATAGTGTTTCAATACTGTGTTGCTAGCACAAAAATTCGGAGGAGTTATAAAGCAGGATGATTTCCTGCCTTGAAAACAAGTTACTCATGGCCGAAATAAACATTGAACTCAAGCAAATTTTCAACTCATAATTTATTAGCATTATGGTAAAAAATGTGTTATCGATCATTTCAACTATTTACATTGTTGAAAGTATGTGCTGATGAAATCAACATGTGAGAGAGAAATCTTTAAACTCTTTTAGGTCACAAAATGCAAAGGGTTTTAATTCCCTTAAGTTGTAGAAAAATAACGAGAAAAATCTTATAAACTGATTATTTTAATCTTGTGGGAAAAAAATTATGCATTTTCATCAGACTGTAGACTGCAAATTAGCATAGACTATTTTAAGTCTCCGTGCAAAAAATGAGGTCCGTGGTTGGGATCAATGGGCAGTTGGTTGTTTGTATTAGTAAAGTTATCCTTTTCAAACAATACATTGTTACTGGGCTGCCTGTGCGGCACAGTTATAAATTCGGTGTTTGGTCGTCTGTGTAGAAAAACGGCCTCCTGGGGGAGGGAAGGCACGAGGGTCTGGTACCGAGAAACGATGTTCTCACAAATGGTTTCGTACGATTTTCCCTTGCATGGACCCTTGCACGAATACTTTTTGTACCTAGTCTCCGCCCCCCAGAAACCTAGAAGGCGTTGCGAACCTGAAGAAGGCTATTTGCATTGTTCGAAGCGAATCGATCATAAGAGTCACTCTATAATTTTTTTATTGTTCGAGTTTAAGTCAGTTGATGATGTCGGCGCTGGGAAACTCAGAGAAATGCTCACGTTGCATACAAACCCACACGCTGTTCATGGTAAGGTTTGGAATGCCAGGGCCGCTTGGTGAACTCAAAGAGAGAATTATCGATTGATTTAGTACATGAGCAATTAATAAGCACAATTTATGAGCAAAGTATTTCACCAGTTGACGACACTATGGCTGAAGACTTGATTGTAAGCTGTACTCAGTGAAGCAAACAACTCAGTTGCCAATGAATGTCAGATGAATCCTGAACACTTTGCCATGTTAGAAGACCGGCTTTTCCTTTAAAAATTTCCTTCCATTTAATGCAACACACGCCACTTTGGAGGTCTAAATTTTGGATACCGAGGATAAAGAAGACACGGACAAAAATAGGAAATCTGAGAATTTCGCACACAAGTTCAAGGCTTCACCGGAACATCCCATCTGGGAGCTACACAAAGACCAGCTTGAGAAAAATAAGAGCTATTACTGACAAGGTTTGGTTCAATGAGTGGAGCATACAAGTGTAGCCCAGGTCGAGGTTTCAGGGGGTTTGCTTTTGTTTGTATCTGTATCTTACTAAGCTTTTATCATTAAATTTATACATGATCTTGTGATCACAATTCTGTGTTTTCGCCCATTCAGCAAGCACGATATATCAGATGCATTGATGTCAGCATTAACAAGTTTCAAAAAACATGCCTTTGTAAATTTTCACTATTTTATGGAGATGTAGACTGAAGACACCACAAAATGGGAACTTAAAAAAAAGTACAATCCATTTATCTCGAAACATAATACACATGACTTACACCACCTTTATTTTCCTAAAGGTGTTTTGAATACGAACGAAGACAGTAAATGTGAGGGGCAAAAACAGTTTTAATATGAATGAACCATAGGGTTTAATTAATATAAGGGTCAATTATTGTGCATTGAAATGAATCGCTTGGAAAGAGAGAGTTCGCTTGGAGATGTGATCAGAGGTAAACAAGGGCACATTGTGCGTTACGTTCAGTCTTATTAATATCCAAGGACTGTGAATAGTGTTTCCATATTGTTTAGCTGGTAAAATAACTTTGGAGGAGTTATAAAGCAGCATAGTTATCTGCCATGAAGAAAAGTTAATCCTGGGTGTCGTGAGACAAACAGCAAACTCGCGCGAATTTTTAACTCATATCGGTATCAGGTAAAAAAAATATGTTATCAATCTTTTCATCTATTTACATTGTTTAAAGTGCGTGCTGATGAAAGCAACATGCGAGCGAGAAATCTTTAAAATTTTTAGGTCACAAAATACAAAGGATGTTATTCCTTTAAGTTAGAGAAAACTACCAAAAGGAAAATATTAAAACTGAATATTTTTTTATCTTGTCCAAAAAATAGTGCGTTTTCATGTAGACTGTAACTGCAAACTAGGATCGTCTATTTAAAGTCTCAGTGCAGTAAGTGAGGCCCCTAGATCAGGATCAATGGGCAGTTGGCTGTCTGTTTTAGTAAACTTCTGGGTTTCATCCAATACAATATATTTCTGTCTAGTGTAAATTAGCCCAGTGGCGAGTAGCTGACCCTGTCGCATTTTATACTCTTAGAACGACAGTTATTTTTGGAATTTCCAGTTACGTCAAATTAGTCACGTTATACACCGAATGCAAATATGGCGGACCTCTCGGCCGGCCCGGGTCTAGTTGCGCAAAAGCGAGGCTAGTTAGGCCTCGAGAGTTTTGTTTTGACTGCGCGTCTTAGCGATTGAGTCGATCGATATGGTTTGCATCGAGTTGTTGCATGCCCGAGGGCCACCAAAAAGAAGATTTTACTCTAGCTGGAATAGCCTTTACTTTCCCGAGATCTTTTCACAAAGAAACTTAAGGATTCATGCGATTCGGCGCGGCAATGGGAAGCACTTTACAGCGAAACTGTGCTCGCTCACTTGCTTTAGATGAGAAGACTCACGAAAGTATTTGAATGAAATAATTTTCACAAGAGATGGTGCTGTTCCAAGATGTTTGCATGGTCTGTTATTTATCCAACAAAAAGTAAACATTCTCGAGAACGGGAGCATCCGCGGTGGACCGTAAGATCTTTTAGATTTCACGCTGAAAACAGCTGCATTAAAATATAACAACAACAATAACAATCGCCTGTTAATCCTAAAAGCGTGGCCTGTGAAACTATGTAAGAACCAGAAGAAAGCGACATATTTCAAGAACAGTCCTTGACCAAAATGCACTGAAAAAACTAACGGAGGAACCGTTGCCAACTATGAAAGTAAGAAGAAGAAAAAAGGTTCTGGAAGAAAAGCAGCGTGCAAGTATTCGAGCATTGTATTTGACCTTGTGATTGATCTATTTTAGCAACTTGTCGAATGGTTTCGAGATAAACTAACAGCGATTTTCCAAAAATTGCTTCTTTTATGGCTCTGCTCAAACTCTTGAACACAGGATCGTGAAGACTGTGAAAAAAACATTCGCCCTTGTTGTTTGTCATGGTGTCCCTGAGAGCGCCTAAAGATTGGTAAGTCGCGACGGCGGATTCACTCGTTCTTGAGGATATTTACCTTTCCTTGGTAAGAGAACGGACAAACAAACTTGAAACAGAACCATGAATCTTTCAGTTATTCACCCGTTCTAATAGTTTCGTGAGTCTTCTCTTCTGAAGTGAAGCGAGCACACTTTCGTTCTTTTAAAAAATAACTTCGTGATAGTAGAGTGCCTCCATTCGCCGTGCAGAATCGCTTGAATCCATTTCTTTCTTCGTAAAGAACTTTGGCAAAGCGAAGATAATCAACTTTCGTCTCTGCTGGAGTTAAATCTCCTCTTTGATGGCTCTTAAGCACGTAACAACTCGAAGGAAACCATATTCATCGACTGAATCGCTAAGACGCGCAGTCAAAACAAAACTATCAAGGCCTCACTAGCCTCGCTTTCGCGCAGCTAGACCCGGGCCGACCGAGAGATCCGCCATATTTGCATTCGGTGTATACTGTCACGCTATATTTTGGGAGACAGAGGGATTCGGGGAGGGGTGCGTGAAAATAATGCAAATCGTTTCCTGCTTAGAATTAATGACTAACTTGTTTATTTTTATTCATAATGGTAAAAAAGTTATTAAACAGCCCCAACTTAAAAATGGTACTCATTTTTTTTGTCATGAACGTCTTTCAAAAGGGTACAATGTTCTTAATGAGTTTATGTTTCAGTCTCACATGAGATTCTCTCTCATGCAATGGTCGGCAACAAGGTTTTATAGTAGCCTGAGTATGTATAGCCACCCCTTCCCCTCACAAAAAATAGCCCCTTGGCAGCCCAGTTAAAAATCGCCTTTCGGCGATTCTTGTTCCTGTCTAGTGTAAGCAGCCCAGTGAGTTCGCCTTTTGGCAAGGCTAGTTCTTGTGTGGTTTGAAAGATCTCTTGACCCTGCACAAGCTAGCTGACAAAGTTGTTCATGACCCTTAAAACTGATGACATCAAAAGTGATAGAGGAGACGTGGATCCACATGGGCAGTTACGGACGGTCAAGGGATGAATGAGCCAAGCCAAAAATTTTCAGGAATTTTGCACCTAACTTACAACAAAATCCAACTGTACAAAGCAGACAAAAGCTTTGGCATTTTGTGATCACTTTTACGAAGTTTTCAACTTTAAAAATATATCTACTATGAAACATAATTCACCCACCTCTTTTTCTACATGGATGTAAAATTGCTTGATACCTTCAAGGGTTAATTCTTCTTTTTTGACTAAGATTTGAACAGGATCACGCATAAATCTTTTGGTCACCTCCAAAACATCTTGGGGCATTGTAGCTGAAAGCAACAAAACCTGACAAGCATAGACTAAAATAAGTTAAAATGGTAGTAATTAATTCAACATTAAAGAGTGTCACAAATTAATCAGTGTCACATTGTTGTTGGAAGAATGCAACCCTTACTCAGAAATAAAGTAATGCAATGTACTTTATTTGAGAGTTACTGTATTTAGCCAAAACTACCAACTGAGGACTCTATTTTTTACGTCTCCTTCTAAAATTTTACCTGATCATCTGAGCCACGCAAAGGTCTAGCTGTTTGCAGGGCACAGGGGGTACCTTCATTTCCCATTATTTTTTTAAAGACCCTGAGTATTGGTCTGGTCCCAGGAATCGCACCCATGATCTCCCACCCTGCAGTCAAGACTGCGCTGTACCTGCCGCATGGCACTTATTAATACATGTATTTTTGCTGATAAAGGTGGTGCTTATTTTGTGGACCACACTTGTTTGAGTTGATATGATGACACTTTTCCTCACCTGTACACTGGAAGGTATCTTTTGAAAAACATCATATATCTGATCCTTGAAGCCTCTTGATAACATTTCATCAGCTTCATCCAAAACAAACATCTTGATAGTATCAGTTTCTTAACAACAAAGATAGCAATTTCTGTTAGTACAATTATTACTATTTGCCCAAAAATCAATCTACAATGCCATTGTAACCCAAAAAAGGCACAACCTGTACACAAGAGAATAGGGTATTAATATACACTTAATTAATACTGTTTTCCCAAGAGTCCTGATGTTTCGCGAGATGAAGTCCACGAGGGAAAACGAAACTAACTGGTTTCCCGAGGGACCTGACATTCAGTGTTTTGTTATATTTCTAGAGTTTCACTTCAACGTACTTCAGCAGCAACAAAAGAATACGCTTAAGCAGAGCGAATCAAAACAGTAGACTTGGTACTTTTAAGAACACAAATTTAATTCTCAAAACCACTGAATGAATGATTTACAAAGTACTTTCCTTATATTATCTGCATTTTTTTCATCCACTAGCTGCTGTTTCTCTTCTTGGATAACTTTGAAAATTGTTGCTTTTCAGCTTGAGGCTTCATGTTTGTGTTGTTGTGTTCATTCACAAAAAAGAAAACTGGCAGGGTTTTTCCTGCCTTCTGTCACACCACTTTCCACCATGTTTTGATCACATGCTGTAATGTATCCCGAGCAGGGTACATTGCTTAATGTATCATAATCGCAATACATTTGATTTTAGTCAAGGCCATGTGACAAAGAATCAGACAATGACTGTCCCTGTTTAGTTGAGTGAAAGTCTAGGAATATAACAATGCTTCTCATAGCACCTATAAAACAAGGAGAAGACTCACGAAGGGCATTTCTTGATATCATGTCAAAAACTCTGCCTGGAGTTCCAACAACAATGTGAGTTCCCTCTTCTTTCAAAGTTTTGATGTCCGTTCTGACATTGGTTCCACCAATACAGGCATGACACCGGGCATCCATGTAATCACCCAGAGCAATCACAACTTTCTGAATCTACAAAAAACAACACAAAAAACTGTTTTGGAGCTACCTTAAAGAGTATCAAATTACAGACACTTCCGGTAGCAATTTGCTAATTATGATCTCTAATTATGATTTTGAATCTACAGGAAAATTAACTTAACAATCTTTTACATACTTTTTCACCAAAACAGGGGAAAGTCATCAAAAATAAGCATTTTAGCCTTTTGTAACACCTTAAGCAGCCGGCAAAGCTGTGTTCACAGCTGGTCAATTTCGCTGGTGTCTGGCCCCTAATGAAACCCCTGCACACACTGAAATATTGCAACAACATACTTGTTAATAAGTTACAAGAAGTATTACAGGTAATGAATGTCACTTTAAGGATTGTCAGGTCCCTAATCTTTTTAGTTAGAAGAAATACTGAGTACAAATACCTGCTGGGCTAACTCCCTGGTTGGAGCCAAAATAAGGGCTTGGCACCGGCGAGATGTTACATCAAGCTGCTGAAGAATAGCAATTGAGAATGTGGCAGTTTTTCCAGTGCCTGACTGCGCTTGAGCAATGACATCAAGTCCTGTAAAACAAAACTGCAATAAGAAAGTCGTATCATGTTTAATAGGCGGCCTACATTAAAGGATCACTCTCGCTTGGCCAAACAAGCAAATAAGAGAAACTGTTTGAAAGAAAAAAGTTGACATGGCATTATTATGCTCAAACCCAGTCCATACAATGGACAACTATCGCTATTGGTGTGTGATAAAACAATAGCCTTTTGCATTAGTTGATCACATGTTCACTTTTGGTAAACACAAAAACAGTTCTAACAATTTTGTTAGCACAACTGAAAAAGCATACATAGGGTATCTTCATTTTCAGCCGTATATCTCAAAAGCAGCGATTGCAAAAGCTGCCGCAAATTAGAAGGATTTGTAAGAGAAAAACAACTTTTGCCACACAGTCATGCTTGAATGGTTTTCCATACAAATCCTTCTAAATTTTGAAATTTTCAATCTGCTGTGAAATATTTTTCCTTTAAAAGCATTACAGGGCTCAAGACTCCTTTTAATAATATTAATGCCAGGCAATTTGAGACCTGAAATGCATAAAGGAGAGATCTAACAAAGTTTAAAAATATCAGAATGAACAAGGATTTGTATGGAGAACTCACTCAGCTGAAAGAGCATACATTAGGTATCCTTTCAATTTTCAGCCGTACATCTCAAAAGTAGCAGTTGCAACAGCCTCCAAAAATAGACCTTTTTACCGATATGGCAGCTATAATGAATTTATCAGATTTAAGGAGTATTATGGGAGAATATCAGATCCTACTCATGCCTCCTGGGCATCCCATAACACTCCTTAACCCTTTAAGTCCCAATAGTGACTATCATCAATTTTCTCCTAATGACATCCATACAATGTCAAGAGATTAGGTTATGAGAATTAATAAAATGATCGCCTAACAGAAAATGCCTTGATCTTTTATCAAATTCTCTCAGCTCATTCATGAAGGAAATGTATGGAGATCAGTCTGGAGAATTTGTATGTGGATATTAGGGCTTACAGGGTTAACCGTTTAAGTCCCAAAAGTGACCAACAATAAAAGTGCAACATCTTCAACACCAGCAACTATTCCATCTTTATCGAAAAATACAGGGCTGTCACTAAGATTTCAAGTTGCCGGGTATATGCAGTTAAATGGTGGGGAATTTTTTAGGAATTTTTTACATGCAAGAAAAGGAGCCCACAACCTATTCTTGGTGAGCAGCACTCATTGAAGTGTATAGCAAGCTTTTCTTCGAATCTGTCCACATTCTTGGGATGCCCGTGTTGTACCCACTAATAATGCATGATATGTCGCTGCAAAGGCCCTGGTGTTGCATTTAAGGTTCGTCTGATGTCATGTTAATCATGTGAATGCACATGCAAGTGACACAACAATCATTATTATGATTCGCAAGCACACATAATTCAGGTACACAAGTACTGTACTAAATGAGAGACTTTTCGATTCACCTTCCAGGCCTGGAATCTATTTACCCAGGAAAATGAAAGCAGAGTGTTAGCAAGTCTAGAAATCAATGTTAATCAAGTTTATTCAGGTTTCACTACAGTGCATGGTTTTTACACTTTTAAACATTTCCAAGTATGTTACATTGCTTGTCATCTAAAAGCTTCAATAAGCTTTAAACTCTGGTGTTAATTTTAGCTGTTTCAATATTATCTATTGCATATCAAGGGTTTTTGGTCGTTGAACATGGACTGAATGTTCGATGCAATAAAAAGACTTCTTGCAGTATGACCGCATGTACACGCACTATTACTTGTGACACGCATTACTGTTTCAATGTATCTTTGCCAGCGAATACAGCCATCTCTTCTCACTCCTCCCCATTTGCAGGCTAATTGTATCTAACCAACTGTGAATAAAATCCTTGAATTAAATATAAGTCTTGTCTACTATGTCGTTCAATCCAGTTTTCATGATCTGAAGTGATTCCTTTCGTGAAAGGACTTTCTCTGATTTACCTACACAATTATTATAAAACTGTGGCTAATCTAATGCACGATATTAACAACAACAATTCGCCAACAAATCTGCTCAATTTCTTTGAAAAAACCTCAACAATTCATTCATACTATACAAGATCATATAGTTCAGGTAACTTTCACGTCAAAAGCTCAAAGCTGGAAATACACAAAAACTCCTTGTCTCTCTTTGGTGTAAAACTTTGGAAGGAGATGCCTTGTCATATTAGAGATCTTCCTAAAAAGAAATTTAGGAAAGTACTTCACAGATGGCTTTCGGATATCTTAAAAAGAGAAGATGACTATATTGAGACGCCCTTAATAGTTGAAAAAGTTTGATTAATAGTTTAGTGATTTCTGTATTACAGTATTTGTTTGTTTGCTTGTTCAGATTTAATGTAATTAAAATAAAACTGTGATAGAATATTATTTATTGTAACTTAAAATTGTAGTTTTTCTTCCTTTTCCTTTCCTTTCTTTTCCTTTCAATTTATTTTTCTTTTAACTGGTCCGCCTAGATTAGCAATTGCTATTTTGCGGGCCAGTCTATTGTAACCAATAGTCTTATGAAATAAAGTTGAAGTTGAAGTTGAAGTTGAAAGCGGTTTTCATCAATCACTACTCCAAGGTGAACCCAAATGTTCGCCCGTATGACAAGCTCACCCCCATCTGAACTTAATAATATAATAATATACAATATTTATAGAGCGCTAATTCCCAATGGTCCAAAAGCACTTTACATAATAAAAATAACAACAAAATCCTAAACCTACAAAACTACAAAACTACATTGTCATCCTATAAAAATTCCCAATGGTCCAAAAGCGCTTTACATAATAAAAATAACAACAAAATCCTAAACCTACAAAACTACAAAACTACATTGTCATCCTATAAAAATTCCCAATGGTCCAAAAGCGCTTTACATAATAAAAATAACAACAAAATCCTAAACCTACAAAACTACAAAACTACATTTTCATCCTATAAAAACATCATCATTCTATACGACAACATCATAACCAATTTTAAAAAGCCAAGACTTGAGCTTAGATTTAAAAGAAGAAAGGGAATTACAAGATCTAAGTTCGAATGGAAGTGCATTCCAAACAGAAGGTGCAGCAATAGTAAAAGACCAGCCACCATAAGTTTTAAGATTAAATTTAGATGTAGAAAGTAAAAATTGATTGGAGGATCTAAGAAGTCTACCAGGTGTATAAGGCTTGATGAGATCAGTGATATAGCTAGGTGCAGCACCATGAGGCGCCTTAAATGCAATTACTGCAATTTTGAAAGTTATCCTTTGTTCAATTGGTAGCCAATGAAGTTGAATAAGCAACGGCGTAACATGCTCATATCTACTAGTAAGGTGAAAATGCCTAGCAGCACTATTTTGGACTCTCTGTAAACGTTTCAAGATACATTTAGGCTGACCGTAAACAGGGTTCTCAATAGAAGGCGGCACCCGGTGATTGATCGCCGCTTACCTTGGGATTTATAGCCGCTTACTTTGTGTTTAAGTCGCTTTTCTTTGCTTTGTTTTGACACCTCTGGCTTTGCTGAAGAGCCTCCTACTTTATCAGTGATCACCTCCTACTTAAAAATCTATTGAGAACCCTGCCGTAAAGCAATGAGTTACAATAATCGATCCTAGCAGTAACAAAGGCATGAATTAGAGTTTTACATGTATTGTAAGAAAGAAACTTTGCCTGAATACACCTCATCCCCTGGATTTGAAACATGTATCAATTTTATCATTCACAGTATGCTTATTGCTTTAAAAACTACTCTTACAACTAAATGTTATTTTACAATAACCGAGCGATCTATCATGCATTGATTGGTCAACAGCTATTGTTAATAAGAGTAAAGGCCATGTAAATGAAATGATGGTGAAGCAATTTGTTTTATTGTTAGAAGCAAATCAACAACAATTTTCCATGGCCTATACTCTTATCAACCGCAGAAATGACATCAAAAGGTTCAAAACCTCGCTTGGCAACCACTTATCTGAGGCAGGTGGTTACACTTAAGTTTTGAAAATTTTGACCTCCATTCTATGGTCGATAAACCCTAGTTTAAATACAATCCCTGCTATTGCTAGAAAAAATGTTCCATGGCAATCGCAGCAATTATATGCTAACCACTCTTCAGCGATCATAACTACAGCACAAATAACAGAGAGCACTGTGGATGCTCACTCATTTCAAGATTTCTGCCACCATGAACGCTGAGAAAGCAAGTACAGTGCAACTCGTACCAAGTCACTATTTATGTGTTTTTAGGGTGAGGGAAGATTGGGGTTAGGTTGAGGTGAGCGGGGACTCATGGGAAGGGAGGAAGGAAAAATAGCGACTTGCAGATTTCGTTTCATAGAGCCAGGCAACTAGCCATAGAGCCCTGCAGGAAACAAAACCCAATAAGTTTTGTAGCTTCCGCCAGCTTTCCACAAACGATGGGTCATCTCGATATTGCAGAAAGAAATTATAATTAATAATTTATAACTGGCAAGTAAATACATGTAGAATCAAACAAATCAACGCAAGACAGCACTGTTTCTTGAATTCCTACCTTCATGAAACAGTGGTGGCAAATGCATCCCAGAAAGGCTCTTGTTTCATCCTCATGAAGTTTGTCTGAATAAGTGTGTGCTACATCCAAAAACGAAGCTGGCATGACCGAACCATGAATTGCCTTGTACATATAAAGCCTGAAATACTGTTCATTTTTTAGAAGATATCACCAAACTTTACACAAACATTTGTGGCCGGGTATTCTGAAGTTGTTTCAAAGATATTATTTGCAATACAGCTGCAGTGTGGGCAAGCTAATGTCCCTTCATTTAAGGCCTTACTTACATCGCCTGACAATGACCTTTCTTCCCAAGCCACCATACTGAAACAAAACCTGCCGGTTGCTATTTTTCCTTCGTCCCTTCTGACAAGTTCCCATGCGCCTCAACCTGACCCCAATCTTCTCTCACCCCCAAAAAACACATAAAAAGCAACTGGGTACAAGTCTGGGTACAGTGAAACCTTGATTTAATGAAGTGCCAAGGGGCTGGGGAAATTTGTACATTATATCAAGGAATAGTTAACAATTAACTTATTCCTAGTATTTCTGGATCTGACCAATTTCTGTTATAAACATTTGTAAACAAAGCTATTGTGTCAGTTTAGGGCTGAACATAGCTACGGCACTAGAAACACACGAACAGGCAAAGAGAACGATTTAAAAGTACTGTACACATAAATTTTGTCCTCGTTGGTCTGTTTTGGCATTCATCTTTGGCTACCTTTCAGTCATGTGTTGACATTTATTTGTTATATCGAGGTATATTTTGCATTTGCTTTTCTGGATTGTGTTCATTATACTGAGGATGTCATTAAATTGAGGTTGGTTATATCAAAGTTCTGTTCCGTTCATTTTATTGTAATTTTGGCCAGGCTGAAGAAAATCGTTTAGTACACCAAGGACTTCATTACGTAGAGGTTTGTTAAATTGAGGTTCCACTGTAATTTGGCCTCTTTTAGGCAGATGTAAAAAGGTATGACTGTAGTTTCAGAAGAGAGGTGGTGCTACCATGAGTGTGAACTGAGTAGGGTGAAAGATGTTTTCAGACAGAGATCTCCTTGATCTTCATTCACCTTCTTGTGGATCATGGCGATCACAGCAATCATATGGAAACCATCAATAACAATAATAACTTTATTTCTATAGCACTCTTATCCTATGTTCAAGGCGCTTTACAGTCATTATTATTATCAACTGCCAGATCGCTGAACTATTTTTTTACCATTGGAACGACTGTAGCGTTTGGACGGAAACTAGCCCTAAGAATACAGACCATGGAAAACTGTTGTTGATTTGTTTAGCCCCCTCTGGTTCTTCTTTTCTTTTTTAATAGCAATTCATGGGTTTTTTAAGACATATTTTGTCTCTACTTTGCCTGTTATGCATCATTTCAATTCTGTTGTTATAACTCAAAGTAAAATAAGGTTCTTCAAGCACAAATAACAGCAAGCGTTTCTACATTTGACTGGTTCGGATGAACAAATCATTACCATTTCACTAGCCATGGTATCTGTTGCCATTTCTAGCAAGAAGCCAGAAACGTCAACAGTCAAATGCAACAGAGAAAGTTTTCAGCGAAGGCTGATTTTTCGTCGTTAACGTAAAATCAATAAAGAGAGGTCACTATTTTTAAAGCTTAAAAAGAGACCCATTAGTAATTTATTACCCTTGAAAAATAGGAAAGTTAGGTTTTCGCTTGCGTTCGATTGTAAAGTATAAAGCAGGCTGAAGTCATGAAAATGTTCAATAAAAATTACAATATTTATACTAACCTTTACAGCATGGGACTATTGCTCTTTGTTGAATTGCTGATGGTTTCTCAAAGCTGCAAACGCCATAAACTGGTATTACATTATTATAATGATATACGCTTAAAAGCTCATGTGCCTGAATGAACTTTGTTCAAATTCAATTTATTTCGACAAACAGTTTTTTTAAAAAAAAACTCACCCGTATGCATAAATTCCTCGCAGTAGATTTTCTTTCAATTTCATATGATCAAACGATTCATGAACTTCATCCCAGGTAGTCTGTTAAAAACGACAATATCGTATGAGAAAAAAAGTTAACCTATTCTAAAAATTCATCTCAATTCACATAAAACAAACTCGAGTTTCAAACAAGAACAGCACCTCGATCAACCCGTCAGTCCCCATCCCCGGCGGCCCATTTTGTTCCTCTCGACTCTTCTCGGAGTCTTGTTTTCTGTGGAAAGATATCAAACAACGCGAAATGATTTACAACACACGCTACTGAGAAATGCTCAAAAGCCGACTAAAACACGTGGTATCAAAGATGGCGGACGGTCTCTGCAAATGGCAATTGAAGACACGATGTTCTGTCTCTAAAAGGTCCCAGATTAAGGTTGAAGATACAAAACAACAATTTGATGGTGGAATTATTTAATTTCACATATTTTAAAAAGTTTGAGAGGTTAATTGTGGCAAAAAACAAGACATTTACTGACCTTGAATCACTAAAAGAATCGTAAGACATGTCGCATGAACAAACCAGCGGGAAAAGGAAGAAAAATTGCCCAAGCCCGCCTATAGGGGGGTAGGAACATTTCTATCGCTAGACCCAGGTGACGTCACGTAACTTCCGGAAATTAGTATTCGTACGTGGGGGAAATGGGGGATGATCTTCAGCAAAAATTTGCAATAAATTACTTTATTATAAAAGTAAGCTATGTTCTTCGAAGGCTAAGCCTTTGGTTCTCTCGATCTCGATCCAAACTGAAATCATAAGATTGATGTGGTGGAAAAGATATCAAAAACCGTCAAAAATTGTTTCTAAATAAAACAGAGGTTTCAGGCCCTTAGGCTTAGGGTGCCGGGTGTATATGTTGTCGTTCAGTTTTATCCTTGGTTTGATCTTTTTTCCTTTGTTCCAAATTCATTATTATAATTATCATACTTAACCATACCCCCCCCCCCCAAAAAAAAAGGAAAATAAAATTTGAAACAAGGATAATCCGGAAAACATGTAAATGCATGATTTGATCTTCCGAGGTAGGCCAAAAGTAGAGTGAAAGCTCGAAAGGGTCGTACGTCTTGGGAACCGAGACACACTGAGCCAAACCCAACCTGCAGCCAATCTAGTACAGTCGACTGCTTGACTAGGTACTCTAAAAAAGGCACGCTACGGCAACTAATCGCTTTCTGTGGTATACTGACCTACGTCGCAAAGAACAGAAAAATTACCTTCTGCATTAACCAATATACAGCTGAATATACCGGTAATTATACGTGCAACTCAGGTGCACAGAGCTGTGAGAAAGATTTCAAGTTGCTGGGACAAGCAATAGTCAGGGAATTAAACAGCTAGGACGGTACTTTTGGTTCTATTTTACTTCCCATGGAGTAACAAGGGGTAATGCTTATCATCGCAAGGGGAAATTGCCATCCCTTGGTGCATCATCAAGCTTTTAAAATCCCCCAAACCAGGGAACACACTTTAAACAGGGACATGTTGCAGAACAATATAGAATTAGGACACGGAGACTTGGTCTTCGTAAAGGAAGCTAAGTCGACTGTAGTTAATCAGGGGCACCCAACGTCAATTTTTGGAAAATATCTGTTCGGAAAACGATTTGAGATGTAGAATTTTCGGAACATTTGTTGTAAAATTTCTTGCTTGCCTGCCTCTCCTAGGATTTTCGAACGTCTAAAAAATGGTATAATTGCCCATTTTTAAAGGATTTTTACCCTAAAAAGGTCGCCTAGAATTTTCGGGAGCCTTTTTTCTGGCTGAAATTTTCGAAAAGGTAACTTTTGATCCCTATGATTTTCGGATCACTAGACTTTCAGCTAGGAATTCGAAACCCGAACAGCTGAAAACTTTTTAGGGGATAAAAATATGCCTATATCTACCGTTTAAATACTAAAATACGTTCAACAATGCTATGTTTAAGTGGTTTTGAACTATGTTCTTGTTGGGTGCCCCTGGTTAAAGGCTTAGGGTGTTTAGGATCACGTCAATATTTACTGACAGCACAAATTATCCTCTCCTTTACGCAATTGGACCAGGTGCCTTAAGTTGTTTTTTTTTTCTGTAAAATAACTGATCGAAGGAGCAAACTATTGCCTGCGGAAATTTCTATAAAACTCGAGAAAGGCTAAAACTGTCTGGATAGGGGTGCTTACCATTTGACTGAAAAATACGGTTGGGGTGTCGAAAGCATTATGGTACTGAAGCGATTTACCAGTTTACTGCAGAATTAATTGCCTCATCCGTTACGGTTTGAATCCATAAAAGGGGCTAATTTGTGTAGAGTGAGTCTGGAACTGAGAAATTGGTAAATGGTAAGCAACATATCCCGTTTGGTGCAGACCAACCGTAATGAACGGACTACCACAAAACGTACTCCTTAGTTTTCGGCTGGACTTTTCGATAATAAAGTGACCTTACCATTTACCTTCCATCCCGAATTTCCGAAATGTTCTGTCATATTGTAAGCACCCCGGACCTACTCTTCTAAGCCTGATTCAGAGGGTTTCTTTTTTTTCTGACCACCTTTTTATTGTTAACAAAAATAGTCTCCTAGATTATTTCGCTGTAAGATAAAACGTCCACAGTATTTCTAATGAATGAATATACGGCTACTCCTCCTCATTGAACCGGACCCATCATGGTATAGCTAACAATTTCCGATCAGATAAAAGCCCACCTTAGTTTCGAGACAACCAAAGTTCTCCTTTGACATCCAAACAGATAAACAGTAGTTTTTAGGGTCGCTCCAAATAAACCAAACAGGCTTCGCTGAAGCATTGAGAAAACCATTTGAGACACTTCTGGCGTATTTGGAAGTATTTGGTCGTTGGGTGCCCCTTTCGGAGACGTTGCTTACATCTCTCACGGCTACAGAGGGTAAGGTAGTAGGAAGCCGGAGAAAAAGTGATGCCTGAAAAACCAGCATAAAATTACATTTTGTTCGTGGGAATTAACCGTTCGGCTTGGTGGTCTAGCCTGCGAATAGTATCGGCCTCACTCCTCGCCGCTAGAGACGTTTTGCGAAACGTTATTAGCAGCGATGTGCGATCAGCGACAAAACAAGGCTGTTCGCAGGCTAAGACAGGTCCACTTCAGGAGGTTTACAGTAATTCCAGTCCCCTTTTTCGACAAAGAGACCTCCCCCGTTCACTTGCGACTCCCCCTGGGGTTCAGTTTTTAGCATATAACGGGCACTGGGGGTCTCTCATTGAACACAGGGGGGCTCTCTCACTGAACCCCCCTCAAGGGAAGAAGCTTAGGAAGTTACAAAATGCCTGTTAAATTAAGAGAAGCTTAAAAATAACTGCTTAAAACTTTAAAGGATGGTTCCTGGGAAGGTTAAAATAACATAACAGAAACAACAGATGCCACGAATGGGCAAAACTGAAGAAGATTGAAACGGATTGAAATTAGGGTTTTTGAAAACTGTTCAGCCTAACAGTTTTTCAAAGTTGATCCCTGCTGCTTGCAACTTCAAAAATAATGCTCAGGAGACAGATTTGTTTGTCTCGGATCTCTGATTTTGTCATTTACATGTAATTTCTTTGCTTACTTTAAGTTTCATAACGATTGAGGGCGAGTAATCGGCAAAATTAAACAAAATGAACTGGACTGCCGTGACACAGCCCCTTTAAAAAATGAATCAGATTTAAAAAAATAGGTAATAATGCCTGAAAATGAATCAGTTTAGTTTCTTTAGTTTTGGGTATTATTACTAACAGTAATAAGGCATGTTTTGTTTAAATTTGGTTAGCTTCCAAGCCGGTATAGATCGTTTTCAGTCGCGCGGTCAGCAGTTTTGCAAATTGCTTGGAATAAAAGAAAGTTTTAACATGTGAACAGAGTTCAATTCCCACAGGGTTTTTTTGTACACGAATATGGCCCCCGGGGGGGTACTGCCATATATGGGCTATATAGGTATGTGCCGCTGTGAAGGGTATAGTTTTCAAGCAGTTTACTCTAGGATAGGGTATATAAATCAGAGCGTTTGGGTCTAGAATAGGGTATCATTTTTCAGGAAACTGATCAGTTGGTTGAAGATTATATCTAGACTAGGTAAACAGCTACTCTAGGAAAGGGGGATTTGGGGAGTTTACTCTAGTATAGGGTAGCAAAATTCAGCTGAACTAGCTCTGGTATAGGTTAAGGGTTCCAGGGTCCCAGCGGCACATCCCCACCCAGAAATTCCTAAAGTACCCCCCCGGGATATGGCCACCTATTCATTGTCTTGTGCACAAATATGGCCGCCTTGACGTCATGTGAAAACGATCTATTGGGGTGATGTTGCAGTTATAGGACTTATGTAATCATTTCTATTGAAAAATCACAGAGATCCAAAATTTCCCGATTATACCACCTCACGCTAGGAAACTAGTCGAAGCAGCGTTCGTTTGAACGACAGACGTTTCTCCTCGCTCATCGCCGCTGAAGGACGTTTCTCGCGAAACGTTCCTCAGCGGCGATGAGCGAGGAGAAACGTCTGCTGTTCGCAGGCTAGTTTGATATGGCTTTTTCCTGGTTTGGTTTTACCGGCCAAGGAGAGAGAGCAACCAGAAAAAAAATGACTCTACAGACACGAGAAATGAAGAAGGGTTGCTGACTGACGGAACCACATTTGGCAAAAAGAGTGAAAGAGATAACACGCGTGAACAGCACGCGAGGAAGGACCCCTCGCGCGTATACTTCATGTTCCGCGCTCCTTTTTAAATTTGTACAATCAGGAAAAATGTTGCCTTCACCACAGGCAGCCCAAGCGCACTATTTGTGGGTTCGGGCTTCAGAGGTCATTTGGTGGGAATATACTAGAATTATTAGTGTATTATCTCATGCCAAATAAATGCAAAAAGTCTTGAAGATATTAAGTCTTCTTGTTTGTCTATCGGTACTAGTAGCCTTTAAGATAACGAAAATCGATATTCCTTGCATTATTACATGTGATTCGGGCCCTTATTGATCGAATTTTATCACATGTATTCGAATCTACAACGCTAAGGGAAAAAAAATCATGATCACGCGAAATATTGATTCAAAAAGCTCCCTTACCTTTCGTTCATAGCCACTCTGTGTCCTACGGCTGGTTTAAACGCCGTTTAGTCGACTTTCTTTCCATCAGTACTCGATGGAAAGAAAGTCGATCAATAAGGGCCCGAATCACATGTAATAATGCAAGAAATATCGATTTTCGTTATCTTAAAGGCTACTAGTACCGATAGACAAACAAGAAGACTTCATATCTTTAAGACTTTTTACATTTATTTGGCATGAGATAATACACTAATAACTCTAGTATATTCCCACCAAATGACCTCTGAAGCCCGAACCCACAAATAGTGCGCTTGGGCTGCCTGTGCCTTCACACTTTACACTATAAGCCCTTTGCTGCTATAGCAAGTATCAAGCAATGGTAAATTGAAAATAAGAAAAAATAAGTCGAAAAAATGCTGACCATAAATGGGAGATAAATAATCGCAATGAAAATCGTCTTAATGTCACGCGCGACTCACTTCCGAAGCTTTTAGAGACGAAAACATAAAGAATGCCAAAATTGGTCAGGTTAAGTTTCATAGACCGGACGTCTTAACGCTTAAGTGATAGCGTGACCGGAAACTTCGATAGGCGTGTATCCAGTCACAAAGGGCTCACACAAGACTTGAAATGGACAGATTTGGTTATTATAGGGAATTTTCCTTTTCTATTAATTAGTATAAGAAGGGGTTACCCGGCTGGTTTTATCATCAGTAAATCAGCATCTCTCGGAAGAACGACCAAAGACGAAACAGATCAGCCTCAGAATGGAAATAATAGGAAGGGTAGGCCTCAAAAACTCAGGAAAAGTATTCGGCGTACAGCGTACAGAACATTGGAAAACAAAGCTCAGCAAAGGAAATGAACTAGTGAGGGGCGTGAATGGAGTAAAGAGGAAAGAGGAAAGACAAGGAAAGTTATCCAAAGTAGTCAAACAAAAAACAGAGGTAAGCATTCAGACAGCAACTAATCCGTCTTTTAGTATATCCCTAATTGTTTTATAATTTTGGTCCTGAAAATTATACTCCGATCGTCAAAAAGAGAAGTGGAAAAAATTTGGTAATACTTTCACTTTTTACTTTTCTTAAGAAGGGAACGCTCGCCACCTAAATCTCACTTGAGCGTTACTGACTCGGGACAGGCTAGGCCACAAAAGGAGCGGAATACTTTTAATAGTTTTTCTGACTACCACTCAGTTGGAAATAAAGAAAGACAGACTTGGACTTTTTTAAACGGACTCAGTGTTTGTTCAAAGTTTTATCTGTAGTTTTGTAAAACGTAGTCTACCTGGTGCTCTAGAACGTTTTGACGGCTTTTAGTAAACAGTGTCAAGCGTATTGCTGATTTAGTTTTTGGCCCATAATCTTTTGATTAAGTATCAGAGTAGTGATGGCATGTACCGACGTGACGAAAAATTAGATGCTATTATATCATTATAAATATACTCGGCGGCTTATGGTCTAAGGTTTGCTAATCAGTAATCAATTTGAAATTAAAGAGGTCATCAGTATCCGAGACGTATGTTGCGGAAGTAGTAGCATTACCGTATAGCTTAGCATACCGTATGAAAAACTTCCTTCACTAAAATGGATGTTTTTTTTTCCCAGCCGGAGGAAAGAAAGGACCTTTTCCCGCGACCCACCGCAGTCAAAACTGGGAACTCGCCATTGAGCAGTGACGTCAACACAGCGTTCAGGACAATTCTGGAGTATCTGAAGAAAGCTATGTCCGTCTGCAGTTTGAAGGCAAAATTGTCATTCAAGGACTACTCAGTGAGCGTCAACAAACCGTGTGAGTTCGTGGAACTCGTAAAATGCTGCCTCGTCCTGGACGCGGAGAAAAGACAAGTCAAGTTTAAAATTCACAAGGGTGTCGCCATTTCCGCTATTAATGCTTGTATTCCTCCCCCGGTGAAGAAAGCAAAATCTGTGATACGCGCTGCCATAAAACGCATCCCCCTGCAGAATCAGACAGCAATCACTAAGCTGTTTAGCGCCATCTTTAAAGTACTGGCGACCAAGCAAGACCGAGATTACGTCACCATGTCTCAAGATGACGTCATTGATAATGACATGTCGTTTGAACAATTGATGTCAAGCAATAAACTTTATTCCACGCTCGTGGCCCTTGATCTCAAGATTTTGTGTTCCAAAAGCGTGGTCGTGGAGCTGAAAAGACGACAAATCTTGGCTGGAATACGAAGAGGGAGGGTGGTTCTAGACGCCAGCCAAGGTCTGCAGATATTCAAGGAACCTCGTGTCTTTATGAGAAGCGAGGAGGTTCAGGTTGCCTTGGTGACCCTAGCAAAGTGGGTCTCTTCACATCAACAATTCGGTGTGTTGCAAAATGTTTTAGAAGTTGTGAAATGCTTACAGGCCGTAACTAATTACAGAGGCAAGCATTGAAGAACTTTCCATGTATGTAACGTATAGCTAGCTACATAGTAGTTTGTCTACTTTAAGACTATAAACAACCTCAGAATATACGAAATACATTTCTTTGAAATTGCATTTTTATTTGGCGGTATCTAAAATTGAGACTAAATAATCAGAAATAATACACAAATTAATGCCGACGCATTAGTCTGTACATAGTTATCGGAATCACTGAAACGATGTTATAGCACTTTAAATCAACTGCTCAGCGATCTCATTGTTTTGACAGCCTTTTGTAGCATGCGTGCTAGGCGTTGGAAAGTTTATCACCTTTTCCCGACATTCCTTTTCAACCAAACACCAGGCGCGTTCCGACCTCGTTACGAAGACTCGCTTCCCCTTTGGGAGAGGCGCGAGGTCCTGGAACGAGGTCGGGCCTCGGTGTTCCACGCGCTCAGAAAGTGGCGGAATAGAGCGAAATGAAAGGGAAGCAAAAAAATGAAAAGAATTTTTTTCCCTTCCGTCATATTTCTCACTGTTCCCCTAATAATCTGAATCTTGTGAAAAGCTAAGGCTTCAGCATTTCTAACAGCGGTGTCGATGAGGCATAAGAGTTGTTACCTTTCACTCTACGACAATCTTCGCTATTCCAAACATGCAAAGGAAAAAAGCGTAAAACTTCGTCGCACCATCGACTTTCTTACAGGAAAATTTGGCATAAGGATATTTTATAGCCAGCCGTATGGTCAAGTTATAAAACTTTTATTTGTGTAATTTACAAGGGTAACCATTGTTTTAGAGTCTGAAAACAATAGCTACACTTGTAAATAGCAATTGTAAAAGTTTTATAAATTGACCTCTGATGTATGCCGATTACCTGCTCATAGAAGCAGCCTCGTGCGTAGGCGAGTTCGGATTTAACGTCACCGGTCAAGTCGTGATTTCCCGTTTAGATCCAAGCCTCCTCCGCTTACTAGAATAGCGCCAACTAGCCTGGCCGAGGGGGACTAGACCGGGTAAAAGATGAACAGAAAGGTTTCCGAAGAAAAATCTCTGTTATATGAAATTTCAATGTAATGCAACATATGTGTTAATTTCAGAAGACATGATAGACAAGATATGATGCGGTTTTTCAACTGATCAAGTTAACCCGTTAATTGCGCTCGTTAATCTGAGTCATCACAGGTTTCTGAAATTCCAGGAAAGTTAAGAAAATATCCTTTCTTTTAAGATCTTATAACGCTGTAAAAAGATTTAGAATAAAAATCTGTTTTTTGTTATGGTATTTCTTCTAGTTTGTGTTGTTAAAGCCTGTTGTTCCGTTATCGACTTAATTTACTCTTACCTTGGTAAGACGGGAAATAAATGAGAAAAAGACTTTTCCAAGAAACCTCCCTGGGTGGGTCTCTAAAGCTAATCAATTTTTAGTGATTCCGGTATGACACCTGGTACTAGCATGTTTCATCCAGATAGTCCTGCGTCACTTCACGTGACGGCCATATTGAGTGGCTAGGATTCCCGGGGGAGAGTACTCCCCATAACTGCCCATTCGGGGAGACCCCGCCTGAAAGGGGCCACCTTTTTCAGGCTTCAGGTGTATGAATGGGTAGGGATTTCACTTGTTAAAGTATATGAAAGGGTAGGGAAATCTGTCATTTCGGTCTGTAAAAATTGTTCAAAGGGCTAACAGATTCATTATGTGGCCTAGAAGAAGTCGAGGAAACGTTCTGGTTTTGCGATTTATTCATCGTGTTTAAAGACAGTACATTTACAGCAGTTGAAAGGGATGCAGAGTTGTAAACAAGGTATGTGAAAGGGGCACCATTTTTCAATAGAAGTTCTCAAACTCATTAATAATTCATTAAGAAAATACAAAGGAAATTAATGTTTAATGAGTGTTTGGAAATCGGATGAAACACTGCTTAGTATTTGCATCCTTAATTCTCCTTCAAAAATGATTTTGTTTGAGAAGAAATATCAAACATTCGACACAGTGTTTCATCACCAGATGAAACACCTCGAAGTTCGTCAAAAATACTCCGCTGCACGTCGTATTTTCAACTCTCTTCTCGGTGTTTCATCTGGTGATGAAACACTGCATCTCATGTTTGATATATTACGTATAAGAAACGGGTGCCTTTTCTGTCGAAAAATGGCATATAAAAGAGGTAAGGGGTTGAACCTCGGAGCGGAGCCTCCCCCTGATAAAACTTTTTTGAGTACCCCTGGGCTAGGATTTCACCAATCCGCAATCAATAGTGGAAATGGGGCTGCCTGGGGCAGTATATTACGGCATGGTCAGTTATCATGAAAATATTAGTTCACGCGCTTTTTTTAAAATAGTTTTCCATTTTGACTGAATAAAATAAATTGGGCTTACGCCGGATTACGGTACGGGCTTTTCGAAACTCAAAGCTTGCGTCCTTTTTCGGAAAGTCGTCAAAACTGCGAATTAGTTGTGGTTGTAGTAAAGCTATGCAGTGCAGCATGTCTTAATCGTGCTCCACCTCTCGCCATGATAAGAAGTTCTTATTTACATTCCATGTCGCATAACCCTGTTCATTCTCGTCCCCAAGGCCACTTGGCTTAATTTGTAACGAACTTGTGGCTTAGCACGTAACCAAAACAACAGAAAGAAGCGACGGACACTGGGAGAACGAGGAATCGTGACTAATGGAAAGCATGTCAGGACCATTAGCAGTACATGCTAGAGGCCTGGTTAACTAGCCCCAACTAGCCTCATAAAAAACCAAGGGTAAGAAGTTTAACTATCTTTATTTGTTCGAGTGTCCCTATATAGTGTTTGTCAACCCCACCCTCCCTCCCTGCTAAACCAAAACACCTCGGGGTGATACCCGTTCCTAAGCTATTTAATTTGTGACCTCCGGCATCTCATTTCTCAGAAACTCTACGCTTTTGGGATACAAAAGTACGCCATTCAACTAAGCTTTTCATATTTGACGGTGCATTGGTCGTGGTGACATCGTACAAAATATGTGCTTCAAAAAATTTCTCTGCTGTTGCAAGGTAAGTTGTAGGTCATCAAAGCGTCTCTGCTGTCTGCAAAGTCAGTGGGCGAATTAGTCACAAGCAAGGTGTCTTCCCGTAAAGTCACGAGGCGGAAGTTGTTGCTTCTCGAATGTACCGATAGTTTCCATTCAAAAAAAGTATGATGCCATTTTAACTCCGATTACAAAGTTACTCAGTTGCCGAGTTCTGTGAGCAAAAAGGATCTGTATGCATCGCGTCCGTGTAGGATCAGATGTAAAATTCCCGTATTCGCGTCAAACACTTAAACAAACAGTCTCCTCGTGTTACAATATTTAACCCCATTTGAAGACAGCAAAAACAAACCATGGAATATATGAATTTACTAATTCGCTTTACTTCTTGTGACGTAAACCCTCGGTAAACTTACATGTATCGTAAGAGAAAAGCAAGAAATTCAAGAACAATGACAAAATGAATAGTTGATTGAAATCCCACTGGCAACCATTTAGTTATTTTAAAATGCTCAATGGCCGCTGGTCCGAGCGATTTGCTGTTGATTCTACCCGGGATTCTAGGGCCAAAGTTACATTGGTCTCTGAAGTTTGGGCAAACCAGAATAAACGTGCCTTTAGCAGTTCGGGAGTATGCCAGTTTTGGAAGAAGCGATGACGTCATGATTCCATTGTTCTGCTAAAAACACGCAAAAATAGGAAAAAATAATCGCAAGAAACAAGGGAGCTTTTTTCAAAGCCTGTTCCAGGTGTCCGCGTTCAATATCTGGGACTTCCCAGCTAGCAGTACCGATGGAGAAGCCTTCTCCTTGCTTTTTGAATGTCAAGGGAAGTTTCCTACCACATTTCGGTAGTTAAAAGCGACAGTTTTCAAATGGCCTTCGACGCCGCCGCCGCCATCTTGACGGGCATCGAATGTAAGTACATGACTTTATGTTTAGTTTTCAGTATCTTGCCGAATTTTTACGAAGTCAAGACTAATTTTCCTCAAAACTACAACGTTTAAAGTGTGTTCAGGCAAAGTTTCATCGATGGCAACAACCTAGTAAAAATGGCAACCACACATTGAAAATTGCCAACGGACAGGAAGGGTTACTGATACTGATGGTTATGCCTTAGTCTGTCTATGTAGTTTTAGTTATAATCGATCAGGTCTGTTTTTGGTCGTGTTCAGCGGCAATGTATGCGACTCTCATCTAGAAATCACTTTATTGATCCAGATCATGTGTGTGGAATGAGTTATAAATCAGTGTGAGTAGGTTCTCATATTGATTTCTTTTATTTTGATCAGGATTTCCGTCAAAAATGTAGACAAACATCTGGAGATATTACAAACATGTTGTGGCGTTTGTGCCAAAAAGCTGGGAAAAGGAACCAGGAAGACAAAATGCTAAATATCTTCAGAACGACATATTTGTGCTCTGAGGGCAAAATAATTCTTTAGCTTCGCCTTATGTTCCACTGTAATGAAAAATTTAATGTCCAAATTCAACCCTACCTCAATAACATTAAATATGTTTTTTTTGTTTCTTTGTAGTGTGGTCACAGGCTTACCCACCACAAAAGCCCCTCCTTTGACCCTTTCAAAAATGGGTAAGAGGGAAACAAGTTGGAAGGGGGGGCTTATATACCTTGTGAGTGGAAGCTCACACTCAATGACCATTTAACCATAGAAGAGACTGTGGCCCTTATTCAAGGGGCTTTAAAGGAGATAGATGAGGAAGGAGTCATGGACGTGGAGGCTTGTGAAGATTTTCTCTACATAATGTTCAATCCCTCGCGTCAAATATTGTTTATACTTTACAGATGCCAAATACATAATATGTTCAGTCCCTGTGCTGTGCAAAAGGTCAATCTGAAACATGAAAAATGCCACACTCTCCCCCATCAATCCCTGTGCATGAGCAATAAGCCCACATTTGATGTCATAATATCGAATACAGTCGAACCCCGCTATTTTGAACTCGGTTAATTCGAAGTCCCCGCTATTTCGAAGGAAGATCGAATTCCCCTGGATTTACCCTTCCC